AGGAGGCATGAGTCGAGTTAAATACACTTCCTTCGAGTCTAAATTAGAGTCTAAATACAGGAAGCAGTGAAGCAGAGAATGTTGTTCCTTCACAAAGCTTCATCTAAAGCGTGACCAGCCTTACAATATCACCACTGAACCAAGCATAGAGGAAATGTTCACCAGTTTAAGAAGCTCTTGATTGTTAAACAAATTCTCCTTTCCAGCGAAAATGTATAGAGCACGGTATGGAGAATATGCATGCTGATGTCGAGGTGTAAGGAGTTAATTCTTACTCCCTCTCACGATATCGGACCTGACATATTGCTTAATATTTTCTCTTAAAAGCTAGTTTTACCAATAGTTTGAAAGCGTGAAAGACAAAGATGTCTTAACTTACGTTTGCATGCTAACTTTGATGTTATCGTTTCCGTCCAAACAGATCTGGTTAAAGAAACCATTTACAATTGTACTCCACTGAGCGACGAGGGCAGCAATAAAGAAATTGTATCCCACAGAACCATATCCATACTTCTTCAGGAAGGTCATCAGAAAACCAAACCCGATGTAGATCATAACATGGACATCTTGAAATACTGTGAAAGAAAACAGAAGTTAAGTTACATTTCTGAACAGGATTCCATTTAATTGGCTTCTTACAGGGGTCAAGATTGTATGTCTAGAGATTTCAGCTAATTCATGTGAGATTGGTCATTATTTATAGCCGGAGGATGGGGGGGAAGGGGGGAGCCGGAGTTAGAGGATTTTGATTTTGTCATGATAAAACTTTCCTGATCCTCCCATAGGGCTCTGTAATATTTATATCATCTTCTCTTCCCACCCCCCTTACTGATACTTAAAAGGTAGTCTATTTTCTATATTCCCCCATTAATCGAACCTCGGAATGAGGAATCGAACCTCGGAATGAGGAATCGAACCTCGGAATGAGGAATCGAACCTCGGAATGAAGAATCGAACCTCGGAAAATAACACTTCAAATCAAGCGTAAAAAAAATTGTCTGGCTTCAGCTCCACTCCTAGATCAAATTAACATCAATAAAAAAAAAGAAAAGCGAGAAAAATGTTTTCGTTATGAAAGCTCTGCTTACATTATTACCCTGTTGGCGACGACTGATCCTCCTCCTCTCCCTTTGAAAACCAGATAACCCCCCCCCCCAAAAAAAAACCACCCCATCCCCCCCCGCGATATATAATGAATGGTCCCTAAACGTATTTTAACTTCATCAATCACCCTACCCTCCCTCGGAAACTGAAGCATATAAAGAGCGATTTTTTATAAATATCATCATTACTAGTACTATTATCATTATCGTTTTTATTGTTTTTTTTTTCAGTCCAACCGGGTCAAATGAATGTTGTATATGACGACTTTTTATGTGAATAACCGACCACCCAAGAGTATAAACTAAATACCCTGCAGAGTGCGTTTTCAATAAGTGCCGCAAATCCAAATTCAAAGTATTTACATCAGCCAATCAGATGACAGGTAAACATCACAAGTGAACTAAGAGTAAAGACACGTAACCTAGCGAAAGCGCGGTAAAACACGAGTGAGCAATCGTTTTGGAGCGCTTTTTGAATGATTATTGTAAAACTACACTTAATTAGAGCGACAAATCAGAGAGAGAAATAGTCATGATGAGCAACTGAGAACTCATGTCGAAAAAAAGCAAACTGTTTCAGCGTGGAAAAACACGGTAGATTAAAGAGGTTTAAATTTTGCATCTGATTAGTTGATCGCATGAAGAGCTCGTTTCTTAGTCAATCATAGTTGATGAATGGGGAGTGTAAGACCAAAGTTCAAACGAAGAACATGTTGATTGAAGAATAAGATTGCATTTCTCACAAGCATTTCACGAGCAACTCGATTGTTTACCGACCCTAACAATGCCAGAATTCCCGTTCAGTATTAAATATTAAAGCAACGTCGAAATAGGAAAGCGAAAACCCTTTACGTCGGGGTTTCTGCTCTCGGATTATGCAAAATTTTAGCGACATCACATTGTTGTTTTGCGTATGAAGGCTATGAAAAGTTCAAAGCTTTGAAACAAGTGTGACGCCCAATGGTTTAGGTTATTTATCCTTTTAACTCCCATGAGTGACCAAGACAGAATTTCTCCTGACGATATTATTACAATACATTGCAGACAAGTGATGAGAATTTAGAAAAATATCAAGGGAATTATTGGTTGATCCAGTACCGAATTCTCCGAACTACCACCATAAGAGTTGTATCGCAGACAGCAAGGGGAATTTCTAATGATATCTTGGGAGTGAAAAAGTAAAAAATTTCTCGATGTGTTTATTTGTTTTGGGGGTTTTCCCAAAATGAGCTTTACTAAATGATTTAATCTATTGAATATGTCATGAGATGAACGTGACCGGGCTGTTACGTAAATCGTGTTCCTGTGAAAATCTCATGACCAAGGAAAGTTGGATGGAACGAGATAACATTATTTTGGATTCCATCGTTTCCTTCCTACTAATATCCATTTGCAAGGCAGAAGTCTTCTCTGATTAAACAACGGTGAAGTTCATTTCTCGGTTATCGCTGATCCTCACGTGACGTGACGAAGCTTACAATCTGACCTGTGCCACACGCTCTGAGGGTTCCTGCCTTATTTGGAAAAAGTCACGTCGTCTTTTTTCATTCATATAGTGCTTACCCAAACGCAACCACTTTGATGCTCTAAATTTTTTCAAAATAGCTCCCTTTTTGCGCTCTCTTCTGTTTCTTTGTTCTTCTACGATTTCGTACCGATATTAAGCAATTTCACCAAACCTGATGACTTGTTTTAGTCTGTTTGTTTACGTGTCACGACTTAAGTGATTTTAGGATACTCGTGACAGTGAAATGAAACGTCTCTACACCTCATTGCATGTAAATATAATTTTTTGGCGCGATTCCCAGAGATAAACTTTTGAACTGATTAACAAGAGACGTCACTTGTACTTTTGAGTGCTTTTTAATCAAGAATTGAAATCGTTCTAGTTCTGAACTTTTTGAAACCAACTTCAAAACGTTGAGAAAGATGTTTATTTTGTCTTGTCACGAATGTTGGGCAGAGAAAAACTCTGAGTACCCCGATGAGGAAATTGAACCTCAGAAATAACACTTCAAAACGTGTTATTCTAAAATGAAGCGTAAATAAAATTTTGTCTAGATTCAGCTGCACTCCTAAATCAAATTAACAACAACAACAAAAAGAAAACAACGAAAAATGTTTTCGTTATGAAAGCTATGTTTACATCGGATCGTCTAAGTTCTACTTACTGATTCGTGATGTTTCAAGTCAAGAAATTGTTTTATCTTCATGTCAAGAGAAAGATAAGTGAAAATGGCACTTACATGGATAATATGTACGAACATCATTCTCCTTAGACCCTTCAGAAGTAAAGTTAGAGGTGCTGTGTTTAATAGACGGAGTAGCGTCGTCGCCATATCTCACCAGAACGGAGAACGACACCAGAAGTAGAGTTTGGAAGAGACCACTGATGAGAGAAAATTTGAAGCCCATGTTAGCTCCAGGCGTACAGCTCTGTTCTGTAGGACTATTACGAAGAGACTGATAGAGGGGTGCGACTTAAGGCAGGTCTAAATCTGTACAAAGTTCTACAGTGGAATGAAATATTTTTTGGCGACTAATTCCAGTTCCGATCCAGGGTTAAATAGTCTCCATTAGCCCCTCAGGTACAGAGCACGTGAAGATTGTTGCTCTTCAGAAGGGGTGTCGTCTCACTCCTCTCAGACAAAGAGGATTCAGAGCTAGGAATAGCTTTGGGCCTAAAGGTTAATTTCCACACAAAACCACTAGTGGTATAAGAAAGATTTCATTGGTATTACTCGTTTTTTCTTTCACAAATTGTCAGTCATCGTTTAAGCTCTGAAAATTGGACTAAAAATTCCTTGTTAATCTTTGAAATTAGATGAATTTATTTCTAAAGTGCGTGGAAAGCTTGTAATACGTACCCGAACAAACCTGTTTTTTTTTTATGTCCAGCACGTTACGATGGACCTTAGACCTTGGAACTTGAGTCCTCCTCTCTTGGGTACCCAAATAGATTCCTCGTCCTATGGGTACCCCCGTGAGCTCCTAACCAAACATGATCCGTGTGCGTGACAATGCTGTATATATCTTTACAATATCGTTATAAGAATATACAAGAATTGGATATTTTTGTCTATGTATGTTTCGCTCTTGTGACAAGCCTCTAAGAAATATTGATTATTTAACAATTGATGTCCCTTTTAGTCGTACAGAAACTTTAAAGAATTCTTTTTCTACTCGGGTTTGTTGCGCATGGAACGAATTATCTCTCAGCATTAGGGAATCTAACTAACACCTTACCACTGTTTCGCAAGAAATTGTTTATTAATTTTTATGATAAGTTCAGTGCCATTTTTTAATCGTAATTATTTTATTTCTATTTTGAGCTTAAAGCATTTTTTAACACTGATTTTTTAACTTAGTAAATCAACAAGGCAGTTTATTTTAAGGGATCTTAAGCTGTCCTCAAATTGATTGAATTGACGGGCTCAATTTAATTAATTTGGAATTTGTATTAAAGATTAAAGATTTAAGTTTAAAGAGCAAATTGCTCTTTACCTCTCCTCTGTCACAAGATATTTCATGTGACTTTTCACCTTTTTATTTTATAGAAACGTTAAATGAAAATTCAATATGCTCACGGAAGTCCGTCAACGGGTAATTATTGGAAAAACCGTTAATTAAATTGACCTCTTTCTCTGAGGTTGTCTTCTGTTTCCTAATGTCACAAATCCATTTTTTTTGCGCTTTTTTGAAAAATAACAGTTATGATGAATCTCTAAAATGCCAGGAAGTATTGTAATATCCTGAGAGTGCCCATTATATTTTTTCCTTTTCTGTAGGCGGCAAACAGAAAAGCAAACAAGTTTCGCTTTGCCTTACTTGTCCAGAAGCGCAGAGTACAAATTCTGTACCAGGCCTCTAGATTACTCGCACAAAAACTGGGCCATGTCTCTGATGCCCCTTGAGCCTTAGTACAGTTGAAGTCGCAAAGACCTGAAAATGGGTCTGAAATTTTCAGTAACCTGTGGGCTCTTCGAGCTGATGCTGTTGACCCTGTTTGCTGTTCTGGTTAAATATGGGGAGCGTGCTATGCCTCCATCGCGACGAATAAGCCAGGACGTAAACAAAAGCTCTGAAGTACACGTTCACACGGGTCCTGAGAATGATGTGCCGATTCTCTATCCTTGTAAGTGAAATGTGCATCGTTATCTCTCTAATACTTAGGATAAAGAGGAGCCCCATTGTACTGTTTGGTCCTTACCCTACAAAGTGACACAAATTTTTTTCACGAAATAAGTCGAACACGTTTTGTCCTCATGTTCCGTCACCCTTCAGTAAGTCAGTGTTTTCTTTTTATGAAACAGTGAGGCCCAGCATAAAGTTCGCTATGGTTCAATGATAAAAAATAGGGGCGCGAAACGTGAAAGTCTGAAGTTCGAATTCATGGGGACTCTGAAATTTTTCTTGGACCTACGCTAAAGACAAGACGAAAAAACATCCTTCTTTAATGTTAAAGGGTTGATAAGAATGAAAATTATTTACTTGAAATGGAATAACAAAATCATTCAGCTGAGATGAATTTAAGCTATCGACACTTGCGTTCTATTAGTCGGGTTGGCTGACCTTAATTTTCAAAAAATTGCGCAAAGACCGTATAAACTTTAGCGTGAAAAGAGTTTTTAACGTTTTTAGATGAAACACACAGTTGGACAGTTTCTGTAGTAAACGATAGTCACTTGCTGGAACATGTAGTAAAATCACCGGTAGAAAGATTATTGTTACAATTTTCCTTTTGTCTTGTCATATAAATTTTTAAATTGTATTTAAGAGGACAAAAGAACCATGTCAGATTTTTCATTTTATTTTCAAAGCAAAATTGATCTATCATGATCTATCAGTAGCTTGAGTGCTTTCTTTTCTATTTACATCCCGGCTTTCACCGTCTCATTACTAATGTCCACTGCTTCGTGAAACCACGTTTTTCTGGTCGATCTGGGTCCCATGATCAACCCGCAAGAGTCTCATGATCACCAGTCAAAACTGCGAAAAGACTCGTATTTGTTACCACGATACTTACTCTTTTCTTGTGATCGATGTAAGGCACAATTCCGTAACTTAGCGATATATTTTCCTTCCTAAGGGGACATAGAGGATATTACATCGCCGCGCGTGCACGTGGATACAAATTGTATCTTCGAGTATTCGTAACACCTATCAACAAATAAACATGTAAACACCCTCGCCTCGCGCTCACTTTTACGCGCGCGAAGGCTCTTGCTTCCACACACAGCTCTTGTTCGGTTTGCTCCTGTGCGCGTGTGTTTATAATGGATACATGCTCGCCTGGCGCAAAACCACGCGCACGTCTTAGCCTTTAACCTTTATTACTTCTCAAAGAAAATTGGTTCAACTTTTTCCTTTTTTAATTCTTCTGCTTTAATCTGCTCCTTAATTTTAGTTTCGATTGAGGAGATAGATCAAACATTCGAGACAGCATTCAGTCATATTCGCAAACGTGTCGAAAGTCGTCAAAAATACACCGTTACACGTCATGTTTTCAACTGTTATCATGATTGTTTCGCTTTTCTTGCTGTCTCGCTTCATTTTTTTTTCTTACGTGTCTTCTGTTTCCTTCTACAGTCTTTCAGGATGTTAACGTTATCGTCTTTTTTGGCGTTGGTTTATTGATGACCTTCCTAAAGAAGTATGGTTATAGTGGTGTGGGATACAATTTCTTCATCGCTGCCCTCCTTTCCCAATGGGGTGCAATTGTAAATGGCTGTTTTAATCAGATTTACATCGATGGAAAAGACCACATTGAAATTGGTTTAAGAAGGTATGTATAGGTAATCAAATGATTTCTAGTGCAATTTAGAATAAATAGACACGAGTAAATTTTTTTCAAAGACTAAAAAAATTTACAAATGTTTATTTATTCCAAATTGCACGAGAAAAATCATATGATTACGTAATAACAATATACATGAAAAAATACGAGATAGCTTGTCATAATTATGTAAAAGCAAAGCGCGCACATCAAGTGCAAAAATAATTTATTCAAACCCTGCAAGTGACATGGTACTTTCGGTCAAAACAACCGCGTACGATCTAAACAATAATATACAATGATATTTTCACATATTTAAGGCGTAAGAAAGTTCAAAGTCCGGCTAAACAGTTCAAGGAGTTGTTCAGTCTGGTTTGTTACTTCTTTGCACTGAATTAACCCTCTTCTGCATTGAATTACCTGAAAACTGCATTTATCTTAACCAATCAGAATTGAGTAATTTTTTCATGTATTTTGTTAGTGCCAAAAAGATCCAAAAGTCGTATTTCACCGTTTATTCTCTATAAAGACTTTATTAGCAGGCTAAGTACAAAATGAATATTTTTTCTTTTTCTTGCTGTGCCCTATAGAAAGTATTGAAATTAAGTTTACTAATCTACCCACCATGTTGTCTGGCATACTTAAAGGTATAAATGTGTGAGAGTGGAACAAATAGGCTCGCAGCCCGTGCATAATTACGAATGCAACGATTTACTTCTTATGCTTTCGCTTCGTCTGATTTCAATGCAGTTTGATAAGCGCGGAGTATGCCGCCGTTACTGTCCTCATCAGCTTTGGAGTGGTCTTGGGAAAAGTGAGCCGCCTGCAACTACTTGTCATCGGTATCCTGGAAATATTATTCTATGCCGTCAATAATTTGTTGGCAGTCAAATATCTGAAGTACTCCGACGCAGGAGGGTCTATATTCTTGCATGCGTTTGCGGCGTATTTCGGTTTAGCCTTGTCGTGGATACTTTACAATGAAAATTCTTTGGACAATTATAATGAAGGATCCAGTTACCATTCAGATATTTCTGCTATGATTGGTAAGATATAAAGGTATTATCCTGAAACAATTCTCTAGGTATTTGCTTAAATATGTCACAGCAGTCACACACACGACAAATTGAATCGTATTTGGCTCAGCTTACAGAGCAGCTGTTGTTTCTATGTGTTTTTCAAAAGGGAATAGCGCGGGAAATGCGCGCGTAAGATGCACGGAGTGCGAGCAAATCAACCGCCAAACCCCTACTCGAGCCCCGTTCACATCCCCTCTTGTCTGAAACTGCAACAACTTACACTAGCACCTACCCCTGACTCGTCTCCAGTCATCTCCGAGGGAAGCGCTCAGGGGTGAATTAAGGAATAGCCACCTTACCTCCTCCTCCTTGTCGCCTGTCACAATGTCCCGTATCTATTTCTCTCGCGATTCTAAAGACCGAAAACAGAATGGAGATGAATCAACATTCGCCATTGCTTGAGTCAACTTTCGATCACTGACAGACATAAAAAGACCGCAAATGTCGTTTGCAATCCAATATCTGATCAAACCTCTAAGTTTTGTGACTATCTATGTTGGGTAATTTTGTAGTATCAACTGAGTTGATAACGTAAATTGGCCACCGTAAAGAGTTACATAGCTGACGTTTCGAGCGCTAGCTCTTTGCCAGAGCAAATGACGAAGGGCTATGCTAGAAACGTCAACTTTGAAACTCTTAATGGTGGCCAATTTACGTTATCAACTCAGTTGATACTACTTAATTACCCTGTTATACTCTCCCACCGATGCAACACCACAGTTTCTTTAGAAACTTACCCCCTTTATCCATTCTAAAACATGCGCTTCAACTGGAAGGAGATTTTAACAAATATATTCGTTGCTGGTAAACCCGAAATCGTAAACTATGTTATATCTCAGGTACTCTATTCCTGTGGTTGCTCTGGCCCAGTTTCAACGCTGCGTTACTGCCTCCAGATTACGTCGCTCAACATCGCTCCATCATCAACACTTACTTCTCCTTAACTGCATCCTGTGTTGTGGTTTTTGTGCTGTCGCCTATCTTTCAGAGAAGTGGCGGTAAATGGAAAATAAGTATGGTGAGAAAAAAATTAGTCCTTTCGATTCTTAGAGCTCGCGACACGGTTGCGCCTGAAGCGGGAGGGAAGATTGGGTGATTAATATGACCTCCTGTCGGTCAACAAAAAGGGATAATTATATAAAAACTGAACGACAACAAACCAGTATGCTCGACCACTACGATGTTAGTTCAAGATCTTCCCTCCCGGGTGAGGCCTCAGACTATTCACAATTCTTGCAATATGATAAACAAATGCACCCACAAGTCATTCAAACTTTGGCAAGAAAAAATACGTTTGGAGAACCCTGATAATTTTAACTAGAGACTCGTTTAGTAAAATATGAAAAAATGGAGAAGATTCACTAAATAAATGGTTACAAAATTTGTAGCAGTGTACATATTTTGAAGTTTTAAAAGCAGCTGCTTTCTTTTTTTTAGGTTCACGTTCAAAACGCTAGTCTGGCCGGCGGCGTTGCCGTGGGAACAACATCTAACATGTTTTTGACACCTTTCGGAGCTCTTTTAATTGGTTGTTGCGCCGGAGCACTGAGCACTGTGGGATTTTCCTATTTGACAGTAAGCAAAATGAATGTGTTTGATTTTAGATAACACGTCTACTTACTTAGTGTAATCACAGCAGCCTATTTAAAACAACCTGAGATAAAACGCAATATCCCTTACTTTTTCCTTGTCATTTTAAGTTTTTTTCCTGAACATGTACAAGAAAGGTTACTTTCCGCAACCTCGAACCCAGGCTGCATCCAAAGGAATGGACTTGTGCTGACATAACACTGTGATTTTACCCTGGTTAATAATAACCTCCCTTTTCTTGAACCACACCTGGGGATCTTTAAGGGAAGGTTGAAACGATTATTTACCGGCCTGGAGGTCCGCACGGTGAAAAACTGTGAACAAAGTCTGAGAAATGCTCCCTGAGGCCACACGTCAGGGGCAACAACAAAGTCCACGCTAAGTGTGCAGTATTTGTTACCATGACCTGTCAGAGAATGAATCAAAAGGCTGTACTCTATAAAGTTTCTTTCTTGTGAAACTAAAGCAATCAAGAGGTGTTTTAATGAAATGTTGAATGCAAAATCTTGTCAACATATAAAAGCTAATCTTTCTATTTTCAACTCTTACCTCATCCGTAGTCATTCTTAGCCAAGTCTCTCAAAATCCATGACACATGCGGTGTGCACAACTTGCATGGAATTCCGGGAATTTTCGGTGGCATTGCGGGCGCAATTATTACTGCGCTTGCACAAGTTGACTCATACGGATACGAAGGGTTTGTAGTTTCCTCTCTTTTGCAACAGATTTTGTATACATTGCCACTCAGAAAACCAAACCTAACGTGACAAAGCAGCCAATCTGAACGAAGAGAAATATCACACACGAGCCAATGAGAACTCGATATACAAACATATCCTGAGCGCGGGAAAACGCGGGTGACCATGTCGTGAATGGTTAAGTTTTCCATCTTCTTGGCTGAGTGGGTGAAGAGTGTTTTTTCATTCTATTCCGCACTACTCTCGACACGTTCTCTTTTATTTTCAGTCTATTCAGTGTGTGGGGTGCGCGAGCTCCGAAGATGAACTCAATTGAATACTGGGAGCTGAAGAATATGAGTGTGAAGTTTGATGTGGGAGATGAACGATCAGCCTTTGTTCAGGCTGGTTACCAGGTCGCTGGTATTATGGTTACTTTAGCCATCTCTATCTTTGGAGGAATTGTGACTGGTAAAAATTTTTTAGTGATATCAGTTTTATCGAAAAACAGAAACGAAGCAATACGGTGGGTGACTGAAAAGCTGTACCAACATGCTTCAACAAGTCTCAGTTACTCCGAAAGTTGCCATTAGAGATTAAAATTGATTTCCTAAAAGCGACCCTCATTATGAAATAGACTCGACATATTGAAACTGATTTTCTCTATTTAGGTTTGATTGTTAAAAGAGAGATCTTTGATCCACCAGCTGAAGAACAACTGTTCGATGATGAGGATTTTTGGGTGGTGAGTGTGTATTGAGGCTTGATAACTGTTGAAATTCGGTACTAATCACTTATGCGTAACAAGGGTCTAAAATACACGAGAGGGAATGAGACCGATACTCGACCCAAGCCTCTTTTTTGTGCGCTTCGTGTTTTATACACATGGGCGAGAACTAGACACCACGAAATTTGCAAGGCTCTGTGTTATAACTAACACTCATTGACCGATGTGGAGGTGAATGGTGGTGGGTATGTAGCGAGATAAATATCCACCACTTTCACCAACACTGAGGTGAATAATTGTTTTAGTAGATACCAGACAGAAACAAAAAAAAATAGTTTATATTGCCAATATACCAAAAAACGGATAGAAATTTAATTGTCGACGCGCGATTTTGTCTCTGGCTACTCGGAGGTGAATAGTTCTTATCAATCACTTCCGAACCGGCCAATCAGCGCGCACGAAAAGTACTATTCACCTTTGAGGTACAGTATATACTAATTATTCATTCTTAACATTAGCATTTGTTTCTTTTTCTGACAGCTCCCACAGAAACATATTGAGGGATACGAAAACATTGATTGAATCAAGATGAGCCGGCTGTAACTCTTACTCTGGGGCGCTTTGCCTATCAATATTCATTAGTTACATTGATTTAGTGTAACTAGACAATTACTATTTGAATTTTTATCTTGTGTATTACAATTTGATTTTTGTAGTTTTGACTTCCCTTATGTAAGACCATCAAGAACATGTTAACATGTCTAACTGTTAAGTTTTCCTTTTTTTCAGAATCTTTCGAACGTCAATAAGAGTGTTTGCTATGGAGCTTTGTGAAATACAGTGCTATCTTTTCTGTTTCAGTGCTGTCTCTCTGTCGTTTAGCTGCAAAATCATGCGTATATTTAGAAGGCCCATTTATGATACATTTAGATAGCGCATTCTCTATATTAGTAAATATACTCTGATGCACTTTAAAACATTTTGCGGAGGACTTTGGCCAGACTGCCTTAGGAGGTTTACAATTTTAGAAAGGAAATTTTGCAGGTGCCCCCAATTTAGTAATTTTTGGATACAAACCCAGACCAAACACCAAAAGTTACGTTCCCTACTCTTTGCGAGAAGAGATTGGGTTCTTTTACGTTCCCACTTTGATCTTATCTTGCCAATCCTTTAGTTGGCCTTTTCCTGTAAAGGGGCTAAGTCTAAGAATGAGAAATGGTTGGGGAGAAGAAGGGGATAAGTCGTTGATAAAACTTGCATCGTGTGACATATGAATTGATGACAACAGTAGTGTACATTGTGTAGCAATTGTATTCCATCTGATCTCATGGCTAACACTCGTGCACCGTATATGTCTGAGGCTAAAACATACGTCGCCTTATAAGGAAAGGAATACGGTTGTGGACCCTAATTTATATATATTCACTAACTCTTTTCTGGACTTATTGTGTTCTGACCAAGCCAACCCAAACATCCTGTCAATACGTCAAATCCAGCTTGATGGGTCGATCAACTCGAACCTCAAACCCTTTACTCTCTAACATCAGTCTGCATAATCTCCATACTACTCCTTAGACTTTTTCTTAGGATTCTGACAAGGAGAATTTGTTCAACAATCAAGAGCTTCTTTAGTTGGTGATCATCTCTTTTATTCTCATAACCTTCATGTTTGATTCAGGGGAGTTATTACAAGGAGAAATGAGATTTTAGTCACTCTTAGGGGTGAAAGGGTTAACTTCCCCCCCTGGGTAAACTCGGGCATTTGAACATTTGACGATTGGTTTGTTCAAATTCCCGGCCCCATGGGGTAAAAATTGTATTCAAATGCCTCACCCAATTTTTTCGTAAAGGCAAAAACAGCGACCGTGACTTTCATTGACCAAGCTTTAAACTAGGGCCTAAACCTTGTGGACATATTCTTCTAAGCCATTCGTTTGCGAAAATGAACTCTTCACCTTTAAACACCTCCATATTTAAAGATGTAACACTTGTATTCCGATACAAAATTCCCCACTTTATCCAGGCAAGGTTTAAGTTCTCCACCCTTGGTGCACGGACGACAGTCTAATAGCCGTGGATTGCCTGGGGGGGGGGGTGGTGTTTAAGCTTCGAATTAATCAGCCCTTGATTTTCTATAACCAAAAATCGCTTTTGTGGAATCAATGTTATGAAGTTTCCAAAAATTACTCAAACTAAATCTACTGTTATTATAAGAAAAACCCAGATATATCAATCGTATTATTTCCCTTGTCCACGCTTAATAGGCCACGCCCTTTTTAAAATATTTATTTTATAACGTGATCTAATATATCAACCAAAATGTTAAACGTGTGATAAAAAGTTCAACTACGGTAAAAAAGGGAGGAAACGCGCCCACTGATACAAAGAGCTTTATTCAAAAACACTAGCTTATGTCGTTTTCCAAACAAATCATCGAAGACATTACCCCTTTACACCCTTGCATCAGTATCCATATTCTCCATACTGTTCTCTATACATTTCCTTTGGTACTTACAAGGAGAATTCGATTAAAAATCAGAGCTTCCTAGGTTGGCGATTTTTTCCTTATTCTCATAATCTTAACGAATGATTCGAAAGCATTACTGTAAAGAAAAATTAGAAGCTGATCGCTCTTGAGTTTTAAAGGGTAAAAGGGAAAACTATACGAATTTACTATCAATAACACATTGTTGAAAAATTACTTTCTAACATCTCCTAATTTTTTTCTATGAACATCAGCGTAAAAGCTACGTAAAATTAAAAAAAAGATGCCAGATCGGATTTCACCCATCAGATGACTGCCGAATTACTGCAGATTTTTTTCTGACCGTGTCAAAATCATAACAATTTTGTTTTCTCTTCCCAATTCCAGAGAGCTCTGGCATAAAAATGACGTTATAACATAGCTAGTAAATCTGTCTAATCAAATTAAACTGCGTGAGTGTGCTTCATATTCCTAGTGTGCACGCTTATGACGTCAGCAAACATATCCCTCGAGAAAAAAATTTTCCATCGGGTTGAAAATGTTATAAAACAATTGGTTCATACGTCAGCTGTGCGTTCATCGAGATATGAAGAACTTGGGAAGTTTGGAGAGCACTCAAGAAGCTAGGGTTGCATCTTTCGTGTTCTCCAAACTTCCCGCGTGCTTCATATCTCGATGAACACACGCTGACGTATGAACCAATTGTTAATTGTTAACAAGACTTGTAAATCACTAGCATGTTTCCTAACAAAGTTTAAAACTTAGTTATCGATTTATCAGACGTAGTATAAAAACCTATCAGTTATTTATGTCAAAGAAAATAATACAGCGACTGAAGGGGCTTTCCTTTCAGTAGTTAGAAGCCTACAGTTTATCCTCCTTCTCATGGGTGAAACCGTCCCCTGTCTCCACATCTTCGCTTGCCTCTTCAGTGGGGACCTGAACACAGAAGGCAAGGAAAATATTTCAATGTTCAGTTAATGAAAATGTACATTTATGGGTACACTGTCCGCGGAACAAGGGCGAGATGTAAACCTCGTTAGGAGAGAGAGTAGCGCGAGTTACTTTCGACATTCGACTGCAAATTGCTCTGTTGCCGCACCCTTTAAGAGTGACCAGCTTCCAATTTCTCCTTACAATATCACCCTTAAATCGAATATTAAGGTCATGAGCTGAGAAAAAAGGAAACGATCATTAATTTTAGAAGCTCCCGATTGTCAGTCAAATTCAACTTATATGTACCTTAAGGAATGTAAACAAGACAGTGAAGAGAATATAAATAACTGATGCTAAAATGTAAAAGGTTAATAGCCACTGAAAAATATCTTACCTCCCAGAAATCATCATCATCGTACATCTGTTCTTGAGAGGGTGGATCAAAGATTTTCCACCTCACAATAAAACCTGCGTGAAAAGACCAGTACACACACAAAAAAATTAAAAACCTTTTCCTTTAAGAGGTTTCAGTTAGATTTAAAGTTATTCAGATATCAAATCTAATTTTTACAACTGATTATATAAGCGCATGATAAAAATCAATCCTTCAACTTGAAAATGTCCGTTGAGCGGTCGAAACCTCGTTGCTTTTTAACGTTAATTTTTATAATCATATCATAATCAAGAGACAAAAAACCTACAGTTCTTATGTCTGCACTCTGTATTCTCGAAATATCAATGAGATCGAAACGCTTGCTGACCGTAGCTTCATCAATTTTTTTTAAAGTTATTTTTTCTTAACGCTATTAAACTACGAGCGTTTCCTCCTCGATGAAGTCCGTCTCGCGAGCCAAAACTCAGTGAGGAAGGAATTAATGTTAGTTTTTTTTCACTTATTTTTTCCTGACTAAATGTTAAAAAAAAAAAACAACAATATCTTAAATTTCATTCTGTTGGGAGAAAATACACTCGGGTGTTTTCAGTCTTTTCTGTGCTTGATTTCAGCGTGATTCTTAACCTTTGATTGCGTGTGTTAGGAAATAAAGCAATTCTCGTTACCAGTCACAATTCCTCCAATGATGGCAATTCCAAGAGCGACGGCTAAACCGGCGATCTGGTAACCAGCCTGAGCTTTGGCTGAGCGGCCATCTCCTGCATCAAACGGCACGCCCATCTTGACAAGGTCATAGTACTCAGTAGTATTTATCTTTGGAGCACGCGCACCCCACAGATTGAACAGGCTGAGAAATATCAAGACACAAAACAGACAATCACAAATAAAGAACGAACAGGGGTGAGGATAGAAATTCACACGATTTGCAAATTCAGGTTGAAGTTTCAAAGATGTACAAGTCCTTCAAATGTTCTCGACAAAATACACAGTGCTTGTTGAAAGGTTCGGCATAATTCTCGGTATTACTATTGGGATACTATAACACAGGAAAATTAAACGCCTTGGCGGGCAAAATGAAGCCATTCGTTCACGTTCAACGATCGACTGCTATGTCAGATTTTAGGAAATCGTCTCAACGATATAAAAAATTTGACGTACCCATCGTATCCGTATTTGTTAACATCGGCATGCGCAGCAGCAACGGCGCCCGCGATGCCACCAAGAATTCCCGGCATTCCGTGCAAGTTGTGTACACCACACGTGTCATGGGTCTTGGTGTATTTCGTCAAGAATGGCTGCAGAAGAGACGCACGTCGATGTGAAGTAAAACTTACCACTCCAAAATCGAAATCGATGCTACGATTTTTGTTTTCTATACTAAGACATGACATGAATTATCAATACTTACTGTCAGGTATGCGTATCCCACAGTGCTCAGTGCTCCGGCAGAGCAACCAATCAAAAGAGCCCCCCACGGACTGATTGACATATTCGACGCTGTTCCCACGGCAACACCACCGGCGAGAGTGGCATTCTGAACGTGAACCTACAGACAAGAAAGAAATAATTTCTGAACATTTGGCCTTCACTATCTGATGTTCATCACAATTCTCCCACTTTCTTGTACAAGACGTTGTATAGAAACGGTGGAGAGATTTCAGGTTAAAAAAGTCATTATCTCTCACCATGCTCAATCTCCATTTGGTTCCTTCTCTCTGGAAAAGTGGCGACAGCGCGAATGTGGTCACACAAGCAGCAGCCAATGAGAAGTACGTGTTAATGACGGAGCGGTGTTGTGCAACGTAATCAGGAGCCACTAAGGCAGCGTTGAAACTGGGCCAGTACATCCAAAGGAAAACAGTACCTAAAATGTCACAAAATGTTAATTCTTCCATTATCAACATCTTGACAGTCCCTCTTTATCAAAGAGAGTTGTTTGGAAAAACGTAGTCTAAAGAGCAACTTAGCGAAACTTCTTTTTCCGAGGTAGGGGGGCTTAAAAACGTTATTAGAGACCAACACAGCCAGTTGGTTAAAATATTTAAGCTGGTAAAATGGAAAAGCACTACAAATATTTACCAATCATAGCAAAGAGATCAGAATGATACACGGATGCTTCCTTAGGACTGTCCAAGACCTTTTTGTCATGTAACATCCGGGACAGGGCCAGCCCGAAGTACGCCCCAAAACTGTGAATGATTATGGACCCTCCAGCATCAGAGTACTTCAGGAACTCAATGGCGATCAGTTCGTTGATGGCGTAGAATACTACTTCCAGGATGCCGATGACTAGCAGTTGCAGGCGGCTCACTTTACCCAGGACCGCTCCGTAAGTGATGAGGACTGTGGCAGCGGCGAACTCTGATGTAACCAAACTATATTCAGATGCGAGGAAAAGAAGGTTATGACAGACACACTACAATTTCTATGCCTTTTTCTGCGTTGTCTGGCGAGCGTTTCTTTAGATACTAGCAAACAGAATCTGGTGTTGCTTCAGTTCATATCCCGTGGTTTGATGTTATTCTTTTTTCTCATAACCTTTCTGCATGAAAAAGAAAGTAGTGTTGTAAGGAGAATTTATTCATTGGTCACACCTGGGAGCGAAAGTGTCGAGAAGGGTGCAAGGATTGATAAAGCGCAACTTTCGAACTAAGGACAAGCGCGTGTTTGCTTGGCTTCCTGGGTAATCAACCTTGGCCAGCCCCACCTACTCGTTAAACACCCTGGGTAGGCCGGTCACGTGATTAGGTTTTTACGGATGGAGCTCTAGCTTAGAGCACATTTCGATCAAGGGTCGATCACTCAGGACCCAAATGAGAAGACGAAGAAAAACAAGCAATCTGGCTGAAGCGCGGGAAAACGCCAGTTACCAGTCGTGATTGGTTTAAGTTTTGCATCTGATTGGCTGAGAAGATGGCGTGAATTTCTAGACCAATCACAGAACGAAATAAAGCAAAATCAAGCAAATCTCCGGGTACTTTTGAAATTTAGGTCGAAATTGTTCTAAAGAAAGAAGGGTTAATTCTCCGACCTCCTCCACGCTCCTTCACTGGAGTCCAATGGTAACAAAGAAGACCACTATGAGTCACGACTCCTACATTTCATTAAACTGAAGGGGAAGGTAGAATTTCTTTCACAGTATTAACTCTTTCACTCCCAGGAGTGACCAAAAATGAAGATGAGGAGAAGGAAAAGGTGTATCAACTAAGGGATACCGTTGGCTCCAAAACAAAATTTTCAGAGCTGAAATTACAAAAAATGCTTTGTAAGATGATGCCGAAAATTTTGATCTGGAGAGTGAAAAGCTACGTAAAATTTCAATATTTACTGCATAGTCGAATCAGGAAAAATCATCTACATACGTTTGTATGCTGAGCTCGATGTGTTCGTGTCCTTCGCCGTAAATCTGATTTAAACCTCCAGTTACAATTGTACCCCACTGAGTGACAAGAGCGGCGATAAAGAAGTTGTATCCTACGGCACCATAACCATACTTCTTCAGGAAGGTCATCAGAAAACCGAAACCGATGTAGATCATAACATGGACATCTTGGAACACTGTGGAAGAAACGGAGAGGAGTTGAGCATATCTCGGTCTATTTGGCAAGAGTAAATGTAACCAAGCCGGTCATTCCAACATCAGTATGCATATTCTCCCTACTTTTCTCTATAAATTTCTCATGGTGTTGACGAAGAGAATTTGTTCAACCTTTAGTTGGTGACCATTTCCTTTATTCTCATAACCTTTAAGATTATTTCAGGGGTGATAAAGGATAGAGAAGTTAGATGCTCGTCACTCCTAGGAATTTGAGAGCAGTGATCATTACTTGCTTAAAAATTTTAACCCCTCTTCGTCCCCACATCAGTCTATTTATGCGTCATACTGTCTTCTATAAATTTTCTCCGATACTGTGAAGGTGAATTTACAAAACGGTCGTTCTTGATCAAAGGAAAGCGACTCAGAGCAATGCGCGCGATGTATAAAAGTGCACGCGTTAATTCACCTTGCGCCTGGCTCTTCAGCGAACAAAAGATTGTTGAACAAAAAAAAAAAGGAATCACCTATTGGGAAAGTATACAACTGGAACATTTACTTCCGGGTCGGAATGGGGTGAAGTGATATATAGTGATATCGGCTCCTTTTCGTTGATGTGAAGGCATCTCATGTTGTCCATAATACACGAGCATGGAAAAGCAGGCGATTAGTGTTTTGCACTCCGTTGACAGCTGTAATTAACTTTGAGTTACGATATTTTTTTTATTGTTTTTATTAGCAATAAAGCCGGACACTCAAGATTATCATTCCTTCCTAAAATTAAACAAATCCGATTTCAGCTCACTCGTGGGACTAGCGTGATTAGGGAAATTGAAAGATCAGTAAGAAGGAATCATATTATTGAAAACAGTGTTTTATATATTTTCTTCGAATAAGATAGGAAAATAGCCGTGTCATAAACGGGCTTACGCTTCACAGAATTTTGACTTCACATTTAGCTTGCTGTCGCGAGATCTGAAATTGTGACATTTAAGTACTTCGAAACAATTGGTAGATTCCGTAGAGATTATTTTCCAGGCGTGCCTTCAACCCGAGTAGTACCCCAACCCGTGGTGCGAAACAATAAGAATGAACTAAAATATGCGTGCAGCAACGTAAATTTTCATCGTTCGTCGGCATTTTATGATTTGCGTAATTACGTTTCTGAGGGAATCTCCCATGAACTCTCGGAAAAACCGAGAACTCTTTCGGTAACTTTGTAAACCCGATAACGAGAATTCTTGGAAACCGAGTTTTCTCGGTTCATGTGAAAATCTCTTGAATTCTTGTAATATACTTAAAAACTATACTTTCACGAAAACGTTTTTGAAATGACCGTCACCTGATATCGACGTCACCCGAGAATCAGAGTGATAACCGCGAGCTTTGTACGTGGATCGGAGTGTACCATTGTATTTTTGCTCGGATCATGAGAATCCCCCAAGTCTGCCGAATCAATTGAGCGTTCCTAAAAAATGCAGTACACTTTGAACTGTATTATGTTTAAACTATGCCCTGTCATGTACTTTGACACTTGCAGTGTGCTTTAACACCCTTGGTGTACTGATACATCCATAGCTACGGCGTGCCTCTTTACATTTGTGGAGTCGAAAATGTAGTCCAAATTTGTATATAATATATTGTTTCGTTTCCTGCTTTATTTCTTATTCACCACTGGTAGGTTTATTTGTTAAGACGTCCAACTTCGTTAGAAACTTAGCTTTCGTGTTAAAGAACACAATTTCGCTGATTGTGTGGCCTGCAAACTAACTCGCGGAGGAGGGTATTGAAAAAAGCTTCGTGCGCGAAGTGTAAAAGGAACTCGAGGTGCGAAGAGAGCGCCAGCTCGATCGTAAAAAGCTCTTCAGGAGCCCCAGGTTCTAACGATCGAACGTCACGCACGCTTCGCGCAACACGAACGAGGGGCTTGAGTTAGGCCTCTCATTTGAAAAAAAAAGCCACCATCCTAGGGAACCGTTAGAAACATTTTTGGTATGAAGAAACCCTTCGGGCTCAGTGAGATAGCTACAGGGGTTTCATCATTGTTAATATTTGCGTTATTTTAAAACCATAGCATATTTTAATATACCTCTTTGAAACTGTCAAATGGTGATATTGCGACCTAATAATAATTTTTTACTCTCTGCCGGGCGAACCTAAGAAAACACAGGTGCGAAAATTGAGACATCTTGCTTTCGTTACAGTGACGAGATCCTTGAAACCAAAAATATTAGGTGTGACCTTCGCATTGCAAAAAAAATTATGCATCGTTGATGGAATATTATGTTGTGTATTTAAAGGAAGTCCTAACTTATTGGGCGCGATTGCAACACTCGATCATAAGATTTCCACCTGAGGACAAATGTGTGACGCCTGCACTTGTCCGATTTGGAAGTCGCTTCTAATTTTCCTCACTTAAACATGCTTAAGACGGTAAAACGTTGCGAAGCAGCTCATTTATTAGCATTTAAGCGATGTGCGACGAGTCGAAAATCTATTGTCACCGAAAAGTGAATTCACTTCTTAACAAAAGAACTCTTTGTGACAAAGGACCTCGTGCCCTGTGTGACGTAAACATAATATTGTATAACATTAAGAGAACACGTGTCTTGGAATCATCTTATAACTGTAATATTTTCTTCAATGATAGTTTTCTGATGTTTTTCGCATAAGTTTCCCTCACATACCACCCGAATCAAATGTTGCTGCAAAAAGTTTCATAGTTACAGAAACTGAGCGCTCCGATGACTTTTAAGATGCATCGCTGCGTTTGACTTGATTAGGATTCAGTTCAGTTCCGCTTCAAATAATTCAAGGTCGTTTCAAAACAAATCACTCAAATCACTGCGTCCTACGAGCTATCGCTTTACGAAATTACGCTTTGTAACGTTTTAAATGTTCTTTTGCAATCCGTGTATAAAATATCCTCATAGAAGCGCACGTGCGATTTGTACCTGACCAACTATAAAGCTTAAAGTTATCAATAACAGCCTCTTAGGTCTATCGAAGACATCTCCAATAAATATGACCATATGAAAACTTATAAGATCTTACTTGGGTAATAAACCGAGATATCATTCGGTGACGGTGGTTCTTGCCGTTTCTGCCCTGCCACAGTCTTATTACTTCCAGTAGCTTTGGTTTGTTCAGACACAGGTTTAGGCGGGAGGGAGTGGCCGCCGTAATCAACAAGAACTGAAAACACGGCGATCAGAACAAGTTGAAATACCATTGTAACAAGTGTAAACTTCACCGCTGTTCCATTACGGCGAGTTCGCTTTTGCGAGGGACTGCTCACTTGTAGCGGTTGTCGCTGCGAGGAATCTAATGTATCGTCCATCTCGGAGCGCCAGTCACAATAACTATTATTATGAACTCTCAACTCACTCGAAAATATCGTTACTTCGACTAAGGAGCACGTGACGTCCTTATTAAGAAGATGTAACGCTTTCTTCAGTGCCGCGGGTGAATTGTATCTGTTTCCGGGTAATGATAACAAATTCTCGCCGTCTTCAAGTAGCTGATGTCAAATCTGCCGTTGCTTATGGAAAGAAATGCTTAATTCCTCAAAAATAAGGCTAGAATTCAAAGTGTCGATCAATGGTGATGGCTCTCTTAACTTGTTGCCCTTCTGCCGCATCTCAATTGTCTCGATTCCTTGGTTATTGACTAACTAGCGGCAACTTTACAACCATATATAATTTCGTGAGTTACATAAAACCTCCTATGCGATTTTTGACCCGAGTGGATTCAATACTCCATTCTACTCCATGTCCTCGATGTAAATAAGGTCTAACAGTCTTCTTGAAAGGGTAAATATTTTGATTGGACTTGACACTCAGTGCATGTTGCGACTCATTCTCAGGGAAACTTTCGCCAACAGATTTCAAGACCTTAATTATTTTAGTCGCCCATTTTAAATCCTTGCTATTGCTTGGTTAATCCAAAAGGTTTTTTCGAAAGTAGGAATGCGACAGAAAGTAGAAGACTGGGTTTTGAGGTGGAACTCGGTGATGAAAATAATACACGCGCGATACGCCCTCCACTCTTCCACTACACGCCCGCAACACGCCGAGTGTAATCAATCGCACAGGCTGGCTGGTTGGCAAATGCGTTTCACTTAAGTGCCACAATTCAAGAGTAAATCAAAGGGATATATAATTTTTTTTTCATGTACTTGAAGCGCTAAAAAACGACATCGAAAACGTAGGTTTTTCCAACTTCAGATATATTACATTTTATCTGAAGATCTTATCAATACAAGTACTACTCATCGTCGGTGGGGTCAAAAACGATGAGATATTTTGCCAAGGAATTTGGAATAATAGGCTCACTTCAGTGATAATCAAGTTAGATTGGCTGTTAAAACATTGTCATAGGGATAAGCCGTTGATATAGCCCCCCTTTGTGCGAAGGCGAGTTGAAAACGTACACTGAATTCTCAATAAAACCAAATGTGTATTCTTGTTGAGCAATTTGTAGGGTTGTTGTTGAGTTCCGTTTTTTTTTTTTTTTTTTTTTTTTTTCAATAATAGATGTGAGACTGAGAAACATCCTTTTCAATTACTCTTTTTATTCCATTTGTATCATGTTTTATGATTGCTATTCCTAACCTAGCATGAAATGTAAAGCTTCGCGAAGTTCAGAAAAAATGCATTTTCCCTTGGTATAATTTCAACGATATTCGATTACTACTCCGTGTTGTTGACATAAAAAGGCATGGAACAGAGGACAATAAAAGATAGCAAGTTTTATAACTATGAGGCTCTTAATGAGAAACACATGGCTTTGTAATATGGCCTTATTCTGATATATAAAGCATGTGTGCGTTTAAAACAAATTTCAAATATTCAGTACTAAACAGCTTGTGGGAATCTCCAAGTAACCTAACGCGGAAAGCTGAGCACACTACAATAATGTAAAATATTATTTTATACCCGAAGGCCATTTGTTTGTTTTTTTCGATGGATTTGAAACCCTATACCTTTTCATGTTGCCGAACCGGCCCTTACGTTCGATCTTTCAACAGCTTATTCGTAATTTTGAAAGCAGCTATTTTAGGTAAAAAAAAATTGGTAAACATCACGATGTACTCCGAAACCTCCTAGAATCGGATTACTACGCGCTGTTGTTATGAGGCTGGAAGGAAAGTGGGCGCTGTCCCATCTCAGGGCGTTTAAGGGACTTTTAAAATGCAATCAGTCTTTCGCTGTTATAACCTTAATTTTTTTTTTTCAGAGGAGCGATAGAAATCTAAAGGCGGGGTTTGATGGCAAACAAGCACAAGCCGAAACAGAAGGGGCTATGTCGAAACATATTCAGTTCGCCATCCAATTCAATTGTCAGTCGATTGTATCAAGAAATTCGATTAGAAAGTACTTATGATATAAACAGAAATGTAGTTTATTCACATTCATAGAAGTCAAGCGGAACATGCTACTAAAACAAATTACTTTCGTTGCCAACATTGTTATTCTCTCTCCTGTCATGGCTCCAAAAAACTGTGCGCTTTTACCTGTCTAAATCAAAAAACACCATTGATCGCTCACGAGTGACGCACGCCTCGATATCACGAGGGCCTCACGAAAGCGCTAAAATTTCTATCTCTGATCGATACGTAATTCGCCTTTCCTTTCCTTTTGAGGTTATTCTAAAACTGTACTGCTTGCCAAATATTTCAAGTGGCAGATCTCGTATTCAACGTTATTTGCAATCTGACCTTAAGGTCTCGCCAAAAGGTTTCCGTTTTCTCTGTTGGTTTCCGTTTTCAGACCAATGACTTGATAAGTCTATCAAACCATACTTCTCTGGGTACGTGACCAAGAAAAAACTAAAGGAAACCACATGGAAAATTCAGGAAATTCCATCATGTTAATTTTCTCTAACTTGTTGCACAGCAGGATCTATAGATTTGACGGTTTTCTGGAGCAATTTAAAAGAAAATATTTTTCTATTTTACTAACAGCATGAAAAACGCGCCAGTATGCAATTTTTCCTATTTTTGGATATCTTTTTTCAAAGGATATCCCGCAGACATGAAGAGGAATCAATGCTTAATTGATTAACGCCCTATGAATAACTTGTGCCGAGCTACAACACACCCATTTCAATATAATCAAAATCCGCTGCAACTTTTTCAGGCGCGTGGCAAATTTTTAAGATGGAAAAGTCGCTCAGTTTTATTCAATGTATCCCCCCAAAATAAGCTGAAAAAAAGGGAATGCAAGTTCTGAAACAGACTCGCGGAAAATAAATTAGCTTCCCAAGGATTTTTTATGGTCTGTCTGGCCGAAGACAGACCTTCCTCGCGGTTTTTGCCCAATACATTAGATCTAAAATATAATGGCGATAGTAATAATCTACCTCTAAAACTGCTGTCACATAAAAAATTAAAGAAAACCCTTACTTGAATAGTACACAGTTACATCGTTTACGGCGAGCGTCTCAGAGGAATTCACAACTGATCCGGCGGAACCTTTTCGTTTGTGCGGTGGAGAAGCGTGTTGGCCGTAATCAACCAGGACGGAAAACAAAATCACCAGCAGCACTTGGAAAATACCACAGATTATGGAGAATTTGAAGCCCATTTTTAGGATTTTTTTTCAGTTTCTCGCACTCAACTCCTCGACGGTTGCGATGCCACAGTCTCAGTGGCGTGCTCTTACTGACGGAGCGGATGAATGTGCGAGCGTGCAATTTATACGCACGCTTCGCGCCACTGTGCTAACAACAAAGAAACATGAAACTTGCAATATGAACCTTCCCCTATTGCAAGGAATCATTATGTGATTGGATATGATCCACGTGAGCAGAGTTCATATGCCACATCAGGTCACATCACGCGAAAAATAACGATAAAAATTTTACAAGGGCTTTCTTTAGCCGGTCGAACTTTAAACCCTACAACGCCCCACTGTCACCAAATAGGCTCATTTCAGGGAAAACAATCAAACAACATTTATTGACAGCCATCATCTTTGTGAGACAGAAATGAACATGAATATTGCGTCTAGGTATTGATTTGCAATCAATAATCCAAATTGTTGTCAAATGTTGATCAATGATCTTCACTGCCACTTCAACCGTGTAGAATTATGATCGCTTAAAAATTTTCATCGGTCGAGACCTTTCCATCGATTGAGACGTTTCGTCATCGACTCAGGATTCGTTATTGATATCCAAAAACAATCTGTTGGGCGAAGAAAAGATTCAGCCAGTTCCCCGCTGTTGGAATGACATTGAACATTGTGGAAAAAGCGCGAAATGGGAGAAACAGCTGCTAATCATATAAAAATAAACAAAAAAAAAGTTTGTTAAGCGGCGCGTAAAATGAAAAAAATGCGAAAACATTTCCGTGGCGTAAGGATAAAAAAGTGATAAAAACGGAAAGTGTATGGATGAGTAAGGGAGACTTATTCATGGCGGCCACCCTTGAGAGTAAGAGGAAACCAAATTCTTTTGGAGAAAAAAAATGCAGAATATTTACACACTAATAAAGAAACGCGAAGTCAAGTGTGAATGGTACAAACACTGAGATGGACTGGAGCGAGTGGTTGAGAAGCCAAGAGTGTTTCGAATGTTGCTTTGGTAAAAAGGCGTGTGTATTTGGAGTCGTAATCGAAAATTAATTTTGAGGAGAGGTTTTGAAGGACGCATCAGTGTCATTGGGCATTTAGTAGAGGTTGAAAGTGCAAATATCTTGAGGCGAGGGCGAGGCAAGCGCGAGGCGCGAATCACGCGCGATGGTAGGAGAAAGTATATATATATGGTTTTTTTTGTGCTCCAATAGCAAAAAAAAGATGCGCCAGTTCTGTGGGTTGTTCTACAGACTATTCCTACTCAAAAGGACCAAGAGGGGAGCGTCAGCTCCCGAACAGTAGCTGTTTATTAAGCCCACTTTCCTCGTTCAAGTGTGAATCTGCGCGCGTGCGTGTGCAGCGTGGAATCAGAGCCCTCTTACATAAACCGGCCGGTATTGACATATTTAATTCATAAATTCCGATTAGCCTCTCATTTTCTTTTTTACCCTTTTCTTTTCTCTTTTTCTTTCCTTTTTACTTTCAGTGTTTATTCACCTTGAACTGAAACACTTTACGCTCTTTCTTAAAAATATTCTTTGTTGGTGGGAACAACGGGGTCTGTCCCAGCTTTATTCCGCCTACATCTGAAGCTAAAGCTCTACTCTGATTTCAATCACGCATGACCCGCTTTTCTCGTTGCTGCCTCGACAAGGTCGACTTCCCATCGAGAGAATTGACTCATGCTTGCAACGCTGCGACTTAACCAATGGGCTTATTACACACTTCATACATGCAGGGTTTGCTTGAAACTTGCTTAGCTGCCTCTATGTTAGGAATGCCATTTCATTCTATACGCCAGCTCCTTCAATTGCCTGTCAACAGTTAGCAGAAGCTTTCCGTCGAGCTTCAAAGAGAGGAATCCTTCTCGAATTTTGCCAATCATGTGACAGTAGACTGGTGATAATGAAGCAATTTTCGGTAAGTAATCCGGGATTGCTTGGGTCTTGCTTTACTTCGCTATGTGATTGGTCCAGGTAATTCGCACTACTCTCTCGACCAATTAGATGCAAAAGTAAAACCAATCACTTCTGGGTCGCCCGCGTTTTCCCGCGCCTTAATCGAAAAGCGCTCTAGCTCTACTAATATTAGAAATAATTAATATCATGTCAATAATGATGATTATGATGTTGGAAGCTTATCTTACGGAAACATTTAACTCAAAAGTTAAGCCATCGGTAGATTAGGAAAATCATTTCATTGTAGCAAGTGTTGCACTGGATAAAGAAGAATGAAATAAAATCTATTGTCACATGACTACAAAACACCTGTTACATCCCACTACCCTCCCCCACGGGCGTATTGCTCCAAGATGGCGGGACTAGTCGGTCGAACAATTTGTAGCCGTCGTTTAGTCGGAAAAATTCGTTACTTGCACACGAGCAGAAAACATTTTGACCAGTATAAATGCGTGGCTGTTAATGAAGTAGAATCCTTTGTAGAGCGATGTATGAGCGCAGTGGGAACACCTTTAGAACATTGCAAAGCTTTGGCGCAAGTTCTTGTTGCCGGCGACGCGAGAGGTCATTTCAGCCATGGGCTCAATAGACTAGGTGAGTTCTGGTCAGAGTGGATGTATTTGCAATTAGAGAGGAATAAGAAATGGTTAAATTAAGCCAGATCATATTCGTGCACATTTGATTAAATTGTGCATGAGCCATAGGCATGTTTGCATTGCGTGCAGACATAATCCCACTTTTAACGACAATAGAGACCCATCGGTATCAGCTGCTAGTTTGAAAACCACGTAACATTGCTATGCAGCATTAGAATTAAGATTAATAAGAATTAAAGGGTCGGTTATAGCAGATAAAAGTTTATTTATTTCCTTTTTTTTAAATTTATTTTGAACTAGTAATCCAACTGCAGTATCTATATTTTTTAAGTTGTGACCTTTTTATGGACACTCAAAAATCATCCAGTGTCATTGACCGGACTTTGTGCAAAACGGAAACTCCCTTCTTATTAGGCTCTATGATTAGATGAGTGGAGACATCTTTCTTTCCATAAATTTTTGGAGAGAAGAGAGCTTACCTGCAGGTACCTTGTTGTGAAAAAAAAATTCAAACGCCCTCTCTATTAGGAAACCATCCCAACCTAGAAATGGATAAAAAGGCTATTGAATACAGAGTTGAATAAAATTATTGGCTTTTTTTGTCGTTTTTTCAAGGCAGAAATAATATAAAAAATTTCCACAAATATAGCCTTAAGAACCAACACCCTGGGGGTGTTAACATCAGCATCAGAAATTGGAAATTCTCCAGCCCATATACAGAATTCTCCTCCTTAAATTTGATGACTAAAGCTTTTCTTTTATTCAAGTATGTAGAATATTCACCTGTTATGTCACACTTTTCTCCTTCAAATACACTTTTTTTTTGTCTTCGTTGATTTAAAGAAAATGCTGCAAATTCTTCTTTCCACCCATAATTTCAGAGCACAGCACAATGTTAGGAAAGCAACTTAAATAGCCAAAGTGTAATATCAGCTGATATGATCTAGGAAAACTGGGTGTGGTAAACATTGTAAAGGATGGCTGATAAGCCTGTGGAAAATTTATGTGGAAGGGCAAATCTTGTCTCTTTTAACTGATGTTTCATGATTAGAACAAATTCACAACTTTAAAATATTTCTGGTGGAAACATTACAGAATCACACCCATTGAAAAATGTCGCATGGGAAAATGCAAATAAGCTAGAAAATAGAAAGAGAGTATGCATAACCTCATTCAGGCCTGTCAATTGGACTGTCAATCATGTAATCCCCTGTGTATGCCGTGTTCACAAGTACCGGTATTGTTTCTTGCTCAGACAACCAAAACGTAGCACTATTCATCAAAGAAGAATAGGTGCAATTAGTAGCGTTATCTTGACATGGCTACATTGTTTAAAAATCGGTCAGATGTAAAAATTACATTACCATTTAAATGTTGGGTTTTTAATTTGTGTTAAGACTGAAATGTGGCAGATTTACAAGGTTCGACCATCAATTTCGCCATGAAAGCAAAACAACAGTGCAGAAATATTCCTTTTTAACCTGTTATTGCCATCAGTTTCGGATAACATGTCGGTAAAGTCTATTTACTTTTCGAAAAGCTTAAGTATATGTTGTAAATTCCCACTCCACATAAGTACATGTTCAGTTCCAACTCAGTTTTATCATAACACCATTTCATTTCATTTCATCACTTTCAAACAATACTAATTGCTCCAATTGTGTCTCCACTGTCTCTAAACAGACACAAAGCAAAATTTTACAACTCCCGTGTGGGAATTTGTCAATTCAGATCTTAGGAGACCGAAGCTGGCAGTGAGCTTTTGCAACCTCATTCCCAGGTTATTGCACCCACAAAGCGTCATGGGTACCCCACTTTTCCTGAGTGACGCTTTTCAATGGGTGCGATTCTGTAATGAACTTATGGATAGGAAGGTTGAGGAATGCCTCTTGTGTTTTATGGCAGCTGAAACTGGGTACATGTTTTACTTTTACAATCTCTTCTGCCTCTTCTGATATTATCTCTCTGCTCTGATTGACTGCCAAGAATAATTAAGTTGTAATTATTACCTTTTTGATGGAAGAGTGCTCTCAAACAATCAATTTTTCAGTTGTATACACAGTTGTATACACAGTTTATTTAACAACTGGCAGGAATGCTATTGCATTTAATTTTCTCATTTAATTTTAGAAATGTATGTCCATGATATAAATGTGGGCTCCACAGTTATAAATGGAGATCCTGAAATTGTTAGAGAAACCAGTGCTACAGCACTTGTTGAGGGAAACAATCTTCTGGGGCCAGTAAGTGTGCTCTAAAATTTTACTCTGTTTTTATCCTTTGACCCCAAAGTGGCCAATATCAATATATATTACTTCACTGAATTCTGACCCAGAAGTAAACAATCTAGCTGTATATTACCCCAATAGGTGAATGCCATTGTTTTTGTTTATCTTTTTGGCTCTCTGAAAAGCCAGGCACAAGTTAAATTCCCATGTGCACTTTTAATTGCACATGATGCTCTGAATCGCTTTCCTTTGATCAAAAAGGACTGTTTTTTAAATTCATCTTTGCTGTATCAAAGGAATGGTGTGGAGAAGACTGGTGTGAGGATTTTTCAACATGAAGAGAAATTTCATATCTCCAGGCAGCTGTGTAATATTCCTTTTATTATACAAATGTCAATGAAATACTAAATCATTTCACAAGGAGCAATTTTTATATGTAACATAGCGACAGTATGGTCTTTCATGTGTGCAGATAACATGTTATCTTCATGAATGAAGATGTGATGTTTTGTGTGCAGGCTTACTTGGTACTTCATTACTGTTTATATATTGAAAAGAAATCTTGAATTTGAAATCTCTGTATCTGCTTTATTTTACATAACAGGTTGTGGGAAACTTTTGTAATGATTTAGCCATGAAGAAAGCTCAAGAGACAGGAATTGGCTGGGTTGCTTGCAAAGGTTAGGAGATTAACTAGCTTTTTTAATTATTAATATGTCAATTGCATTATGATCCATTTTTGTGTCTAATTTCAGTCTGTCACACCTGTTTTTAATGTCAATATGAGGGGTAAATTTCTTAAAAGGATTTTTAAACTAGTACCAGACAACTGTCCAAAAAATATGACCAATTACTGTCATGGTTTAGTCATTTGGCTACCAATTGTTGTGCGATGGAATCAGCAATAATCATGATACCAACTTGACTTTTGCTATTAATAGTAAGGGTACAGCTTAGTGAACTTGATGTGTTGCTTTTGTTGGATAGTTCATTGGTACTCATTTTGCAGAGAAATTAGTTAATATTTTGTCACTATTGCAGGTTCTAACCATTATGGTATTGCTGGTTGGTATACAATAAAAGCAGTGGAGAAAGGACTTATTGTAAGTAAATTGTGATTCTCTCTCATTTTGCAATCATTAATTGCCAACAAAGCTGAATCTTGATTTTATGATTGTCTTTTTGTGTGGTCCATTTTGGATTTTAATGGTGTGGTGGAACTGAAAAATTAGCTTCACACTTCAACTCCTAGAAGGGAATTTAACATGTAACTTCTTCGTATGATACCTGTACAGTGTCTAGCAAACAGGTAATGAGAATACTCAAACTTATCAGGTAGAAGTTGTTATCTTAAACTAACACCAAATTCTTGTAATAATTTACATTAAGGAAATGTACAGCAGTTGGAGGGAGAATTAACAATCAGATCTTGGGATTTGAAAGGTTAAATGTGAAGTCTTGGCCTGTACATGGATTTTGTCCTAATTTATATTTGTTTTCCTAGGGGATGAGTTTTACCAACACATCACCATTGGTTGTACCCACAAGAGCACGTAATGTACAAAGGCTTTTTCATTTTTTTTTGTGTGTGTTTTAAGTTAAGCTAGATTCTGCATCTAGCTATTGTTAGCTTGCTGGACTAGTGGTTCCTGACAAGGGTAATCATGCTTAGCTTTTGGGAAAGACTTTTTATTCTCTTACTGTCCCTTGGCATCCACAAGTTGAAATGGGTGCCCATGATCTGCAGGAGAATCCTAATAGAATTATTGGAGAGTGCATGGGAGTGTAATGTCTTTTAAAAGACAGAATTGTTTCAGCCAGTGCCAAATGACCATGGAACACAAATTCCAATGTGGCAACCTTTCACTGAAAATATTATTGAACTATTTGTTACAGTGACTCAAATGGTCAAAAAATCTTTAAATGTGCATTTTTCAGGTTACTTTGGGAACCAACCCTTTGTCAGTAGCTGCACCAGCTAAAAATGGTGACAGCTTTGTTCTTGACATGGCAACAAGTGCAGTGGCTCTTGGAAAGGTGAGACCACAAGATAATCGATAATCAAGAGATAAGAGTTAGGATTGTTTACTTAATTTAAGTAGTTAGAAATTTAGTCATTAACTGATCATTTTTGATATCCTGAACAATTTTTTTTTTGCTATTTTCTAATACTTTCTCTGCATATTAGCATGTACTGCAAGGGGCCTACTCAGCCTCAGTAAGCTGAGTTGAAATTAAGTTACTTCCTTACTTGCTTATCAGAGCTCAGGAAATAAACTGCCTTGATCAAAAGGTGGCCAAGGTTTTCTTTTATGGTGAGCACAAATATATTGTCATTAGAAAAATAGTCAATTGTTTGGTTTTTTGGATAAATTTTTTTTTTGACAAACTATAATGGATAATGTTAAAAACAGTCACTTACTGGTAGTCCAAAAAAAAATTTTCAGAATTATTACCGCATTCTATACAAAACAATTACATTTGTAAATGCCAATGGTGTTCGACTGGTCTGTTGTTTTAGATAGAAATGGCAGATCGAAAGGGAGTTGAAATACCACATGGATGGGCAGTGGATTCAAAAGGATTGGTAAGAAGACTAATAATTCAAATTTCAGAAGCAAAACTTTCAGTAAATATTCTCTATAGATATTTGAGATATTTTAAGTTAGAGTTTGAGCTTGATGAAATTTTTAGCTCTTTTAAGAGAAATTTTTATGGTAACTTTTGTAAAGTTATGTTGCAGTCTTTACCAAAATTACTTGTTACTGTAATTGGATTTTTCTGTCTAACAAATGAGGTTATTTGACCTCAAAATGACATTATATGATATTCTGAATTATTCTTGCATTTTCATTTGTTCTTACTTATGATCTTTTGGAGGAAAGATGCATATATGGTGTCACCATTAACAATATTTTGCTCTTTTATCTTATAAAGCAAACTGATTCCATGTTGCCATGGGTCTGTTCAGTAATAATAAATCACAGAAGACATCAAAATGTGTTAGAACATTAGTGACACACTCAGCTGTGCCTTGTGTGCTTTTTTTTTTCTGAACCACATTTGACATCATCTGTAGTCTGTTACTGAACACATGCGTGGCAACATGGAATCTACTTGTTTTCTACCTGATAACTTTTTTTTTTCATCATAGGAAACTGTCAATCCTGAAAAAGTTTTATCAGGAGGAGGACAGCTGCCACTTGGTGGAACAGAAATAACAAGTATGATAACATAATTAACAGCCTAATTTAACTCTTCTGGTGTATGAGAAGCCCTTGTTGAATTTAATTAAGCATGCCCTAGGGAGGAAACTATGCTTTGCCAATTTTGTGGTGGGTAATTGGAGGAAATGACTGATTGTATGACTTAACCCTTTATCTCCCATGAGTGACCAAGACAGAATTTCTCCTTACAATACCAATACAATATCAACCAGATAAGTGATGAGAATAAAGTAAAATATCAATTTGGGGATAATTAGTTGATCCAGTACTAAATTCTCTGAACTAACATTGTAAGAATTGTATGGTTGACAGTAAGGAGAATTACTAAATTAAATTTGATGTGGGAGGTAATGAGTTAAATCCCAGCTTTGATTGTAATTCTCCCATCTAGCTGTTACACATTTCCTTGTTACTTAGTTACTAGAATTTTATGTTAGATCAAGATAACAACTTCTACCTGATAAGTTTGAGTATTCTCATTACCTGTTTGCTGGATAATGTATGGATATTACAGGGAGAAGTTACATGTTAATCACTCCTGGAAATTATACTTTGTAAATCACTCTATGCTAGATTTACTCCCTTTTACCCTGTCTTATTTGCTTTCCAATTGGTAATTAAAATTATTAATGGCAGATCTTTGGATTTTCAGCTAAAATTTGTGGTAATTTTGTAATGACAGTTTATCTTATTCTTGGGTACTTTTGGGTGGTTGATTTTTATTGTTGGAACTAACAGCTGATCCCAATGCGATCATTATTATCATCATGTCTGCTAATCAGGGCAAACAATACTCCTTAGTGGTTAGTGCAGGATGAAAGGGCCCCAGACACTTTTAGATGAGGTGCAGATTTTACCCAATTGATTTTCCCATAAATTGCGACTTACTAATAAGCTTTCACTTATTCATGATTGATAAGAAACCATCACCTATCCTTATGATTATGTGTTAAAAGGCTGAATATTATTATTTTATTTTTCGGCATTGAATTTTGCAAAGTGATATAGGGAAAGTACTCATGGCTCTCTCATGTGGGTGTTGTTGATTGCAGGTGGTTTCAAAGGATATGGTTTAGCAATGATGGTTGAGGTGGTTTGTGGCATCCTGGCAGATGCTGCATTTGGTCCCAATGTAAGGAAGTGGAAGGGTGATGACAGGGTGGCTAATTTAGTAAGTACTGGTGCTTTCTCTACTTTTACTACTTATGTTGTCTTGTGAAAAGACAAATGACATTGTATTTATATACTACCAAGGAAAGGTCTTTGGGAGGGTGCTAGATTTTACAAGCAAAGATGGTTTCAATGCATCTTAAAAAGAGGCCCTTACTGTATATGAATTGAGTAAAATTCAAAAAAGGCAAGGCTCCATTTTTGTCAAGTTTACCTGGAATGATTAACCTGGGTCCAGTTGTTGTCAAGGAAATGTGCTGCGCTATCCACCAGATTGAATTTATCCGGTGGTTAGCATTATCCAACCTTTGAACAATTGGGGTGTGGTCCAATTTTGCCAAATCATGCCCCTTTTGACCTTTTTTGTGTTCACACTTCAGAGAGTTGAATCCGTTTTAGGTTAATTCTTCAGAAATAAGAATCACTCTTAGTGGAGAGTCATGGGCTGAACTCCCAAGTACAAGTACAACTTGACAAGTGTGCAAAGCCATGGTACACTTTGTGCTCCACATGTTGTTGTGTTTAAGCACAGAATAACATCACTACACCATGGATTTAAAACGGCCAACCAAACTTTAATATACACTACTAAATCCTAAAGCTACAATTGACCAACATGCATGCAGCTTGACTATTTAAAATTCTGCTCTGGGACATGTGTTACATAACATACCTTACCTAACCTTTGCCCTTAATCATGTTCCCTATTTTTCTATTGTATTTTCCTAGTTCATTAACACAGTACTATTAATAACACATGATTGCCTCTAAACTTTGTAGCTTCCATGAGCAAGGTTATGCTCTGGCATTGACAAATACCTTTCTAGAAAATAGACTTTTGCTGTTCTACAGACTGGGCAAACTCCTGTCAAGTGCTAAACCTTTTTTCTTCCTCAGCTACCTGTAATTAATCTCTTTTTATAACTTCAATATGTCTACTAATTATTTGAATTGATGTTACATTCAGGGTCAGTGTTTTGTTGCTGTTGATCCTAAAGCATTTTCTGAAGGGTTTGAGGACCGCATGCAGTCACTTATGGATCATTGCAGAAATCTGCAACCGGTAAAACCATTTTATTTAGCTTCTCATGCTAAAAAATGCACCCAACTTTGGTTTTACTGATATTATGGATTAACTTTTGAAAGCCTGTCAAGTACTGTGCCTGACCCTTTTCTATGGCTCTGTATAATATCTTAAGGCCTCACCCCTCTTGTTCAACATCTTGAGTTGTTCAACCTTCTTAAATTTGACAACATACATTGGCTCATGTCTCCCTAATCGTGTAGTGTAGGTAATTAACCCTTTAACTCCCAGATCGAATTTGTAATTCTCTTTACTGTCAACTTACAATTCTTATAATGTTTATTCAGAGAATTTAGTATTGGATCAACTAATTATCTCCAAATTGATATTTTTCTTTATTCTTGTCAATTATCTGGTTGATATTGTATTGATATTGTAAGGAGAAATTCTATCTTAATTAATTCTTCTGGGTTTAGTTGTTCAAATGGTGGATAATGCTATCCATTGGATAAATCACTATGCTGTGGAGAGGAGTTAACAAATGAAAACTGTGCTATCCACAGGAGAGATTTATCCAGTGGACTGCATTGTCCACCTTAGCACCACTGGAACCAGGCCAGCTTACCAATCACCCAGTCATTCTGTCAGATCAGCCAGTGAGCCTGTCAGCTGGTTTGATCTTCAGTCAGTTGCCCGTTTTTCTTTTGCAAATCCCTCAGTCTCTGTACAGGTTGCATGTTCTCCCTTAATAATTTCTGTATCAGACAAGTCTTTCTTAATATACGATGACATCTAAGACCATGGCACTTGATGATTTTGCCAACTGAGGAAGCTCTTTTAGGGAAACAGTTATTGCCTCTCAAAGGCCCACACCCTGTGAGAGAAAAAAAATTTTGTTCAATATTGACTGCAGCATTATAATTCCACAGGCAGAGGGTGAGACCACTGTGCTTGTAGCAGGAGACCCAGAGAGGGCCCACATACAAAAAGTGAAAGAAGATGGTGGTATTCACTATCATGTTAATTTGCTGGAAGCTATGGTATGTTAGCATAGATATGCCTGTTAAAATATTTTGATCAATTAATGAAATGCGGGAATTGCAAAGTAATGAACTACTCATTTTTCTGTCTTGGTGAAATCCCAGAATTCTTCCCATATCAAAACAGCTACCAGTCTATCTTTACTCTGCCCAGTAGACATACTGCACCATTCAGATCTTTAAATAAGGAGATAAAAATTTCATTGTGGTAACTAGGTTTATCAGTGTGGCAGTTTTTCTTTTCAAACATTTTCTTTTTAAAAAAAAAAATTATAGACATTACTAAGGTCAATTTCAGCTATCCTGTTATCAGCTCTCAAAGATAAAATTGTTATCCATGCACTGCAATGTTGTATCCCCCATCAGTAACACAGACCCTCTTTTCTCTCCTTTAACCCTTTCAATTCCAAGATCTGAAAGTAAATTCTCCCCTCCAGCTGCCTTGCATTTCCTTGTAAATTATTGACAAGAATTTAGTGATAGATCAGAGTAATAAATTCTTCCTGATAAGTTTGAGTATCCTCATTACCTTTTTGCTGGATAATGTACAGATATTAAAGGGAGAAGTTATTGGTTAATCACCTCTGGGAGTTGAAAGGTTAACTCTAATACCTCAGGTGATTAAAATGTTACTTCTCCACACAATTTCATTACATCATCTAGAAAGCTGGTGATGAGGAAAAGAAAAACATGGTAAAGGGGATATAACCTCTCTTTTTTTAATGACACCAAGTCTTCTTACTATCATGATAAAGCAGCACATAGCAGCTAGATGAGAGAACTACAAAGCAGATCTTAAGAGTTAAAGAATTAAATGTTTAAATTATGAATACATTTAGTAATATTAAATTACTTTATTTCTTTCTCTCCTCTTTATTCTAGGACAAGCTTGCCGACCAACTAGGTGTGCCATGCATGCCAACAAAGTAATACCACTCACACATACATGACATTACTCTTGTCTTAAAGAAAAGATATTTTACCAATGACTTATATGTATGCGCCAAAGGATCAACTTATTTTTAGACAAAGTATTTAACCATCACAAAACATACTCAAGAGCTAAAGTGCCACTTTAAGTAAGGGGTACCAAAGAGTTAGGAAATTACTGTACCTACCAAAAAGGGAAATTAGGACTAAATTAGTGTTTTATTACAAATCTTTCTATGTGCTTAGCTCATTTTTCTCATAGAACTTGGCTTGTATGCCAGGCCTGTGATAATGCCACTGTGTTATTGGTTCTGGTACTTGCTGAGTTGTACGATTTGCAGTACATCAGCAGTACCATTACACTATTTCAAAATCAATGGTTTGAGTGCAGAGATATCCACCAATAATGTGATCATTTGGGTGAATGTCTTTAGATGGCAACAGTGAATGACATCTTGACAATCTGAGTCAAAAGTTACAGTCATTGTTAAGTCTGATGATACGACTGCAAAGTGACAGTCAAATGATACTAATTGTTGATACTAAACCCAAAAGTACATTTTTCTATTCACTTAACATTTACAATTAACTAACAAAGGCACTCACAAAATGGTAAAAGGGACACACTTTAACAAAAATCAACATAGTAAAACTATGGTTGTAGAGAACCTTTGTGTCCAACAAATGTCACAGGTTTTGGGCTGATATGTGAAAAAAACTACACAATTTTGTATTTTAGGGTGCTTAAACAGAGATCAAAACCAATATATAGCAAGGGGGGTTCCAAAAGTGGCAGTTAAACCCCCCCCCTTCCCAACTAGTAGCTTTGTAGATAAAAAGCTCTCATGTACAATACCCAAACAACCTGACATGTCCCCAAATGGTGGTGAGACACTAGTATGGGACTGCTACCCCTTAGTTTTGTTAAGAAAAGTGATATCTGTTGAGTGAAACAACCTGCCATGCCCCAACATTCCAGTAAAATACTAGCACTTGTGTAGGAAAGCAATCTAAAATACTCCATAATGTCAGTAAGACTCAAATGCAAAACAATACCCCCCCCCCTCCTTATCACCCTTGTTAGGATGAATCAATCATCTCTCATGGTGAAGCATCTAACAGGTCCCCAAAGGTCGGTAAAATGCATCCCAATTGCTTTCCAGCTTTGTCAATGAATATCAATAATCTACAACAATACCCCCAAATGTCAATAAGATGTTAGTGTAGAACTGAGTCTCCCCCCCCCCACACACTTTTCTTTCTAAACTTTGTTTAGAGTGATAATTTGCTATAATAGAGCACCCTAGCCTTTTTATACTAGTATGATACCATAGTGTGTGATGCCTTCATCTTAGCTTTTTCTAAGGAAAAATAATAATTTACAATAAAAGATTGAAACTATCTTATTTTCTTCAAAAGGACAGTAAGAAAGTGGTGGAACCCCCCCTACCCCCACTTTCTTTACTGTACTACAAAAAATTGATAACAAATTTATTTAATGAAAACAACCAGGTATGTGCCCTAATGCTGGTAAAATCTTAGTGTCAAACCCCATCCTCGCATATACCCCCATGGGAGGTCCTGGGGTGCCCGTGAATTTCCCCGCGCTCTTTGTAAGTCTTTTTTAAAGAAAACAACCTACAATATTCAATTAGTGAGAACTGGTGAGTACACACAGTTTGACCCCCCATTGAAAAATCGTGGCTATGCCCGTGTACCCTTGGCAAATGTCATAGGAAAATTAACTAGTAGATGTTTGGGAAATAAATACAGACATGGCAAGGGTATCAGGCACGTGATCACTTTTACTGTAGAATCGTGCATATATCCTTGAAAAATGAGAACAGTGACTTGCAGAAACACTGAATCACTTAGTGATAGGAAAATTAAATCGTAGATAGGAATTAAATGTATACATGGCAAGGCTATTAAGCCGGAGATCCCTTTTATACGATTTTAGTATGAAGTAGGTGGTTCAAAGTGTATTGTAATTTATTTTAAAATAGTTGTGAATTAGCTTGGTAGGTTTATAAAAGATGATCTACTGGAAGTAAAAATGTTAGAGATTTAGCCTGCGTCGTATGTTCTTTGAGATAAATGCTTGGATATGCTTTGATATTGATGTTGAATGGGGATTAAGACAAATTCTTCCACATTCCACTGAGGCAAAGATCAAAACCAAGTATGGCTTGGTTTCGTGTTTGTGCGCACGGCGCTGGTTACAGACGTCTATGTCGAGTTCTCATTCACTGTGCAGTTCGTTTTGTTGAACGCGATGAATATGCAGCAATAGGTTTTTCTTTCGTGTTTATCCTTAAATGATTTCAAGTTTTTCAGTTTGCTTCTCTGGTTCAGTTTTGGACAGACCATTTTATTCTTTAAGAAGGGGTGGGCCGCGAGAATAAAAAGTAATACGATGTAATTCATACATGGTGACGGTTCACGAAGACAAAACTTGGACTAACGCATGCGTGACGGAGCACCGACGGTTATTTGGGGCTGATCACGAACAACCCCGAGTTTCTAACTCGGTCTTCCTACAGAGCGCCTGAGTGAAAACTTAAGGGGGAAAATAGAAAACAGCCAAAGGACTCGGAGAACTCGCATCGCAGATTGAATGTGGTTCCCATTTTTTTTAGAGTTGGAGATTATCTAATATTAAAGATTATGCTCGAAACTTTTCACTATAGGTCAGGAATCTGAGATATAAAATTGAATTTGAATTGGAGTTTGGCGTGGTTGGAGTATTTTACCGATATTTTAACAACGGCTTTAATTTAAAAATGGGGATGAAAGAGTTTATGGAAATTTTGGGTTTTGTTCAGTCGTATCTCGAGGCCCTAATTTTAGATGCAAATTTTGTGTTTGTGGGGTACATCTGTTAATAATAATAAAAAAGACTGTGGGAACAAAGCGTTTCCTCGGGCAAAATTCAAAATTTGAAATATTGTTTGTCGGTTAAGGAAGAGAGTGTCACTCAATTGTAGGCACGGCTAAGATAATTGATCTGTCAAGTCTCTTAAAATTGTAAACCCACCACTAATTTACTTATATTATTAAGGTGTCGTACTTAAAACTTTCTCTTATACTAAAGAATTTCTCAATAAAGAATTAGTTCCGTAAAACATTTTAAAAAAATGAATGAATTAGGTAAAGAAAGTATCTCAGGCTATGTGATTAGTTAGCGCTAGTAATTTATTGGGATGTCAAAATGTGGCAGCTGTCCTCATATCGCCTAAAATACATGTCGATCTTTAAACAAACGTCGTTATAGCAACCTTTTGCAAAGTCATTTCAGCTGCTAATGTCTGCTTTAGTTGGCTTTTCTCAACTCACCTCGCTATCCAATCAATTATTGATAACAAACCACAGCAGGTCTGTATTCACCTAGCTAATGTTTGGAACGTTGTTGTGGGAACGTAGTGATATTTTCAGTAATAGCCCGTTGCGAAATGGGAAGCTTGTAGAATATATTGTACTGGGAAAGTTTCCTTCTACTCCACTGATAATATCACACTCGACGTTATGGCTTGAACGTGGAAAATGTCCGATAGGCCGGTTTTATGCGCAGCCTGTGACGAGCCCAGTCCCGGGCCAATAAGACGTTTATACTATCAGCCACGAAAACACGGTCCATTCTTTCCGATTCTGGAACAACAGAAAGTTGGGGTCAAAGCAAGTTTATTTTCCGGAGGACGAGTTGTCGTATGTACAGGCTGTGCCAGCCATTTGCAAAGACAGTGGATCGCATTCGAAAAAAGGTGGACTCCTTTGGAAAAACGAACCTACACACTCTTAGCAGGTAAATTCGATGTAATTAAATGAGTCTGAATTTATCACTGGATGAGATAATTTTGACATCTTTTCAGTTTATCAGAGGTTAAGTTATGAAATATAGATGTATCGTCTGGAGTTATTAATCACCAAAATAAGCGTGCGTTGACTAGAGCACGATAGTACAAACAAATGGTTGATACAGCTTTTCAGCTACCTATCAGTGACTCAGCAATGAATAATTATTTGTTATCTTAGCAAGTTATTTGCAAAGTTGCGTTGTAAAGTTGTAAAATTTGGGTTGCTCTACTGTAAAGTCAAAACTGTATCGTCTGTTCTCGATAGTTATCAATGTATGCTAGTCCTATACGCTAAAACTTCTAATAAAGGGGATATTGACGTTAAGACTTTAAAATGATTTTTTTCAAGCGTTATTCGGGCCAAAAAGAATCATTATTTGCATCATGGTACTTGTCAGAACGCGTCAAATACTTACGTCACTCTTCAAAATACCATACCATATGGGTGCCGCTTATAACTGCAAAAAAATCTTTCGATTGGATCGCCGCCACATCTGAGTACGAAAGACAACATCTATTCATTAGGATTTCCTTATCACGATATGATTAATTCGTGGGATACAGCCGTAATACAGGAAACGATTCAAAACATACTTTAAGAGTGATCAATCCTTTTTTTCAAACACGAAAACTCAATTGCAACTTGCTAGGCAACCGCACTTGTAAGGAACTCGCCAATACGAAAAAGTTTAAAAAAAAATTGATTTGCTCAAACGCTGTGTTAGAGAAATCTGTTATTGTGCGGTAGAATTTTTATAATTCCCAATACGTTTGGGCTTGACAGCTTTTTGCAATTGTAATGAGAGTTCATTTACTAGCACCATCTTGTTGAGAGGCATGAGTGTATGAATACATTTTCATTATGTAAAATATGTAAGCTGGAAAAGATTTGGGTCTATTTTCTGTCTAGAGATAGGGATTTGGCCCGAGAACATTTTGATAATCTCAAAGGAAGCAGTTTTGATCTTTAGCGTCAGAAACCAGAAAAACAATTTGAATCATATATATAATATAAATGACAATTTATATAGCGCCCTATCCAAAAGCTCTAAGGTGCTTTACAATCAAACCAGAAGACGTGATAACTTGACTTTTAATAACACTACACGTAATAAGTGTGTAAAAACATCGGACCAGACGCGGGCGGCAAAGAAAGGCGATGTTTCTCAGCAGGGGTTTAAGAATTTGCGGGGCATCCCCGCAGGCTTTGATGCGCAAACTAAAGCAAGCGCACCATTAAAAAAGGGCTAGGCAAAATTTCGCGCTTGGGATCTTTTTGTGAACATCTGCATGCTCATCATAATCATAAATGGAGTATGGCCACTTAAGACATGCTTATTGAGTTTGGAGAGAAATTTGCTGGTGTCAAAAACATTTTTGAAAATTTGGGCAAAGGTGCGCATGCTCTTGGCTAGGTGTACGATGAACTATCGCAGGCTCCGCCAAATGATTACTCACATTGATTTCTAGAGCAATTTTCAATTGAGTGTCAAAGTGTCCGGGATTGCATAGGCTTTGCTCCACTTCGCTCTGTGATTGGTCCAGAAAACTCGCGCCACTCTCTAAACCAATCAGATGCAAACTAAAACTAATCATCACGACTTGGTCGCCCGCGTTTTCCCGTGCCTTCGGCAGTTTGTTTGTTTCCACTTTGAGTTCTCATTGGCTCTATGGGGTATTTTTCTTTCTTCTGATTGGTTGTTGTGAGTACTTTGGTTTTGGTTTAACGACATTCAATCGAAAAGCGCTTTTATCATGCATCAGTAATCGCTTGTTGATAATCAATTCGCAAAAAGATCATTTAATGTAAGTAAGTATATCACGATATTGGCATTTAGGGATAATTAAATCTCAGACTGACAACATTGAGTGGTGGTTTTCCTATTTGTGACATTTCAGCCAGCAGGGCGCCAAAGGGTGATGATTTCAGCGAAGCTGGCTCGCAGGACCACGCGGCCAAACTTCAGTGGCGCAAAGCCGCCAAATCACTAACAGTTCAACATCAAATCGTGGATAGCTTCCAACACACGTCACATGACGATGATCCGAGCCCCGTCAGCAGATTCAGAATGGCGGCTCAGAACGTCCAACACGAGAGAGAGGCGAACCCAGCTGGTTCTAGTCTCCACGATGTGGTTCAAATGGCGCGCGACGCAAATGCTGATTATGATACACCACGATCTGACAGAAACGCAGGAAACTTGCATCTTCCTGTTTTAGCGAGAAACTCTCCCGCAGAAAGACGCTTACCAGGGGGTACATCATCTGAATTTCAAGACCAGCTTCCTCAGAAATTACGCGAAAGCGCAGACATTTTGATACGAAAGGTGGCAGAAATTCAATACGAGGAAAATCTGCGACAGTCGCAAGAAACCATTCGTGAGGCGCTGGATCGAGTAAAAAAGTCACAAGACCGAGCGCAGTTTGTGAAGAGCCTGGGGCGCGATCTCAAAGAGCGACTTTACGGTGAACTTGAGTTCCGAGATGCCAACAGAAGTTTAACCGAGGAAAGACGAAAGAAAGCTGTTCAGGCGCTCAAAGACAACGATGACTCCAAACATAAGCAAATATTAAAAGAATTGGCCAAGGAGAAGGAATGGCAGCGAAAAACAGAAATCATGATTGCAACTCAGGAAAAGAGAATCGAAGAACTTCGACAAGAGATAAAGATAGAAATGCGGAGCATTATGGAAGAACAAAACAGGCATTACGAGGAACTGAAGCAAATGATGATAGATTCCAGAGCAATAGTACCTCATAACGGCAGTGACCACGCGTACGTGAGTCTTGATGGATCAATGCATTCTGGATCTAATCTGGAGGATCTTATTCCGAGTAGAAAGAGAAGGCGTAACAGGGAACCCAGTACAACTTCTGCCCTAGAGGAGCATTCTCGTGCAAGCACGCCAGAATATTATATCCAGTAGATCAGACGTTTTGATAGACAATTTTGTAAATTATTCATACCTTTTTATTCCCAGACTACCCCCTCCCCCCACCTTCACTATTCATGTACAGTATATATTCCTGCCAAGGAAGAGACCCTATATGAATCACACACATTCTTCATGAAAACATTTCGGAGAAATTTAAATATAACAGAACAAAGCAATTCATCTGGAGGCGAGGTGGCAAGAACTATTATACGGCTCTTTCGCCAGAGAAGTAAAAATAATCGTTGTTAAATTTATCATAACGATTCATAAGCAAATCTTTGATTACCCTCGTAATAAAAAGCAGTCGAGAAAGTCTCAGAGGAAAATGTTCCCCCCAGCATACAACTTAAGATGAGGAGATAAGTCTACGATTGTTTCCTGATGAGAAACCTCTTCCGTATCAATGGGCATCACAACGCACTAAACGATCTTTGTGGTCAATCTTGGACATAGCTGGGGGTGGGGGAGGGGTTTAGTCCTTATACGAGAAAAAGGAACACCTAATCGTAAGTGACAAGTGGCATAATTCCAATCGAGTGTCATAAGTATTCTAGAAGTGCTGTAGTTTTACCACACGAAACCCTGTGGTTGGTCCAAAAGTCTCGCGTTGCCCTCTTAACTAATCATTTGCAAAACTAAATCCAATCGGGATCTTGTCACCTGCTTTTATCCGCGCACAATCCCAATCGAATGACAAAAGTGTTCTGGGATTGCAGACGTTTTCCTGCACTACTCTCTGTGATTGGTCCAGAAAACTAGCTTCACCTACTCAACCAATCATTTTCAAAACTAAAAGCAATCGAGATTTTTGTCAATTGCTTTTATCCGCTCTTAACTCCAATCGAGTAATAAAAGTATTCTGGGATTGCAGACGTTTTGCTGCACTACTCTCTGTGATTGGTCTAGAAAACTGACGTCACCCCCTCGACCAATTGTTTGGAAAACTAAAACCAATCGATATTTTTGTCGCACGCCTTTTTCCCGCGTTTAAGGTTGTTTAGGAGTCTGCGCATCGCTTTGAGTTCTTACTGGTTGAGTTGATATTTTCCTCTACTATATTTTGCCTTTCTGATAACCTTGTTTTTCGGTTTCAAGGAAATTAGTGAATTAGCTCCTCGGGGTACTTTCCATTCTTCTGATCAGCCGTTGAGATTACTCTAGTTTTGGTCTTACGACACTCGGTCGGAGAACGCTCTGTAAACTGCTGTGGGGAGGGTCGTTGATGCTGAATGACGCAAAAACAACAAGCACGAAACGTTTGAAAAGTTTGCTTTTAATGTCACCAGACTGCGACCGATTTACTTCATTTTCTTCTAGCATGAAGGCCCTTAAAATTCACACGACTTCCTACTAAAGAAAACGCAAAAAAAAAAAGAGAAAAAAACCAGAATAATAGGGAATATTTCTATTTACAAACAAAGAAATGTGAGTTTACAATTTTTCTTCTAGATATCCAAGTCCATCAAGTCCCCCTTTGCTTGTTTGGTTTTCCATTCAGGCAATATAACATTTAATCTTCTTTATATTATGGTTTCTCGACAAAATAAAATATAAACTCTTGTAATTGTAATAGAAATTCGCCCAGTCAAGACATTTGACATTTACGCTTATCCGAAAAGAAGTAAAGAGAGTGAAAAGTTTAAGTTCAAAGGAAGTTTCCGTAACCGAAAACGACTTCACCTCTTAAGAGTCATTCAGTAGAAGAAAGGAAAGAAACATTTCAAATCAAACTAGAGAATAGAGCGTTTCTTGAGCTCTTTGAGCAGATTTTCCTTCAATGTCTGATGCTCATCTACAATCTGATTGGTCAAAAACCACTTCCAAAATCAAGTCAACCAATCATGTGTCTGACCAAAAATCAATTGCGAATTTTCTGCACATGGTGCAGATTACGTGAGTTCTGACTGGTTCATTGCCTTTTCTGAATTTATGATTTCCTGAGTCGACAACCGACTTAAAAACGCTCTGTTGGTAACCGGAGGATTTTTGACTCCACTATTTTGTTTCGATCTCAAAAAAAAAAAAAAAAAAGACTCGCCATTCTCTTTTTTTGGTAGTGTAATGATAGATTATCATTTGATAACAGAACAAAAGACGTTCAGCATAATGAACCATAGGCACATCTTTTCTTCGTGCAAGCTTTCAAATCTGTTCTTAAAATAACAGCAATGTTCGAAAAGGTAATCTGTCTTGATTCAATAGGAGTGTTCAATCTGTACATAAAGTTGTTTCACTCCAAGCTGTGGAGAAAAAAATTTGAAAGTTATACCATTTATATATCAACCCCCCATAATGATAACGATCTAATTTCTCCTCACAGTATCACTGCTAGATCAAACATTATGGTCATGAGAACGAAGATAATGATCACAAACTGAAGAAGTTAAATAGTTGTACTGTGGGGTGGTTACTGGGTAGTGCCCTGTGTGGTGCTTTGTAATTATCATCATGAAATGTCCCCTCACCTCCATGAAGATATGATGAGTCTGACTGAGAATTTTATGCGTGTCAGCTGTAGGTGCAACCAGCAAACGTAGAGTTCCAACCCACACGTTACTAAAGGTGAGATCAACAGAATGGTATCACCATTAAGATTCATCACTGTCATACTAATGTAATGATTAGTATAGGTAATCACATGAGGCCAAGTACTATTAAGGATTAATTGCAATTTGGAAAATTTTGAAAACTCAAGTGCAATTAATCCTTAATAGTACGAGGTCTCATGGGATTACTTGTTTATCAATAAAGGGCAAAATTTATACGAAGGAAAATCACGCACGCAGTCTATTTTTATCTGGGAAGCAACGGATTAGCCAATCATTAACAGGTAATCATGCCCACTCTTGATTACTAAAAATGCCCTCGATTAAGAAAAAAATGCCCTCTCTCTCAACCAATCAGCGCTCAGTAATTTTGCCCTTTATTGATAAGAATTATTATAAGCGTGAAAGGTTCACAAAAGCCTTTTTACAGCAAGATAGAACACTCCTTAGACTGCAAAATAAATGTCGCCACTGCGGGCATCCAAAGTTTTTTTTTTTTTTTTTTTTTTTTTTTTGGGGGGGGGAAATTTTCAAGCTAAATGCTTTTGTATTATACATGATTTTGAATTTTTATGAAATTTCGTATGTTAATTTTATCAATTGTATCTTGTAAATAATCTTGAATTGTGAATAAAGTTATTATTTTCATTAGAATTCCACAGTGATTAAAATGCATGGCAATCTCTTCCCAAGAGACCCTATAACCTTAGTACCTCTGTGCCATGTGCAAACTACTCTTATTTTGTAACGCAAAAGTACCACATGCGCAAACAAAACATGAGCAACAGGACTTGAGTGTCTTCAAATTTGACTCTGGTTTCTTATTGGATTGTGGAACATCAGCACACAAAGAGAAACAAATTATGCAGGGGACACACCCAAGAACAGTTAGAGAATGATAAATTTCAGTCTTTCAGTGCTTTTCCAGAGGGAGTGTCTTAAAGGGTAGGGCTCCTAAGGTGCATGAACCCCCCCCCCCCCACCTCCTTGTTACAACAAAGACTGAAGTGAATTAAGACTTTAAGACTTGTAAAAACTGCTAAACCACCTTACCACACTCCTAAATTTCAACAAGATATTTAAATAAGACTTTGCCAAAACCTTTTGACCTCCATAAGTGATCAAGACAGAATTTCTCCTTTCAACATCAGTACAATATTAAACACACAAGTTATGAGAATATGGAAAAGTACAAATAAGGGATTATCAGTCGATCCAATGCCAAATTCTCCAAACTAACCACATAAGAATTGTACAGTAGACAGTAAAGAGAATTACGATATCTTGGTGGTGAAAGGGTTGACCAAGAGGGCCTATTTGGGAATGAAATTACATACAATAATGTCAAAAGAGGTTCAAACCTGCTAAGTGCCCAGAAATGAGGATCTTGAATGCTAAACACATCATCCATTTGATTCACCTGTGAAATACGTACAGAAAATAAACATTGGATATGACCAGTGTATTTATTATGAGTTCACTTAAAAGGCAAATTTACATGTTACAAAAAAATAGTTTTAAAAATATTTCTTCTCACTCACCCTTTGGTAAGCAATATGGACATTCTTTTCCAAACCAACTGGGATTCTCTGCATTAATATTCCGACAGAATCTTTCAATAGAGGGATTACACTGCAGACACAAAAGAAAACTGGTCAAGTTCAAAATATATGTATTTTGTGATTCAGGGCAACTTACATCAGAAGTGATTGACTGTCAGTAGAAGATTTCAAAATAAATTAATATTTTTACAAAAAAATATCTTTTTTTTTTACCTGAAGAAAATAAGAACTGAAATAAACATGGAACATATGGGATCAGCCAACATCCATCCTATTGAAAGAAAGGAAAGCTTTCAGATTCATGACATATTCACCAAAAATTGTCAACCACTTTTACACGAAATACAAAGTTGGGTATATTTACCTATTCCTAGACATTGACCAGCTTAAATTACACTCTAATTTTGTATCCCAAACCATGCTTGATTGGCAATCATGAGATGCAATATTTTTTAGCCAAAAAAGAATGGATGTGTTTTATCTTAAAGCACTCTTGCCTTTAGCCACATTTAGCAACATTGCTTCACCTCTCTCCTTCTAAACCCATGAGCCCTTTAACTCCCAGATCAAATTTGTGATTCTCCTCACTGTCAACCATACAATTCTTATAATTTTAGTTCAGAGAATTTAGTATGGGATCAACTGATAATCCCCAAATTGATATTTTTCTTTATTCTCATCTCTTATCTGGTTGATATTGTATTGGTATTGTAAGGAGAAATTGTGTCTTGGTTACCCATGGGAGTTTAAGGGTTAACTTTCAGAAGTGATTTACTCGTAACTTATCTCCTTATGATATCCAAAAACCTTCAAGCAAACAGGTAGTAAGATAATCCAATTTATCAGGTAGAGGTTGATATCTTGATCTAACACCAAATTCTCACTAACAATTCAAAAGGAAATGTGCACCAACTAGAAGGGAGAATTAACAATCAGATCTTGGGAGTTAAAGTTTTAAAGGGGGATTAGAAAGTCAGTCAGACATTTGCAAACTTTTGCAACTTAGGCATTTTTTTGAAAAGATCAGGACACAGTTCACTGTGGGAGATTTTCACAACTTACCAAACTGGTATATAAGTCCAGCTGATATAATTACACCTACACTTCCTAATGTGTCTGCTAATACATGAAGGAAAACTCCTGTATGAAAAAACAACAAGACACAGTCAATCGAACAGTATAAAGGGGGTCACTTTCTAAAGAAACTATGGTGCTGCATTGGTGGGGGATTTATTTGGTTTAAAAAGATTTTTAAAAGCTGATGTTTTGAACATTAGCCTTTTGTCAGAGTAAGAGAAAGGGACAACAAAAAGCAGTTACAACTGGGATATAAATCCTGCTGACTAGCATCTAATTTCTCCTAATCACTGCTGAATCGCACAGTAAAGTCATAGGAATAAAAGAGACAATTGCCAATGATAGAGGGTCTCAACTTTTAAACAAATTCTCATTGTGAGTGTCACAAGAAATGTGGAGAGAACAGTGTGGAGAATATACAAACTGATGATAAGGTGAAAATCACAGGGAACAAGTTAAGTTGCAGTGAAAATTTCCTTTATGTACATGTAACAAGGAGAAATTTAATGGCTGCATCAATAACACACACCACAGCAACTTGTTTTGAAAGCAGTTCACAAGAAGTGATAAATTATGACATGTAACAGCAATTTGTCTCTACATTTTCCAGCAGATTAAGAAAACAGACATGTGTAAGAAGATCTGTTACACAAAACTGCAAAGAAACAACCCTTAAAGTTAGCAACACTGTAAAAAGAATGCCACCAATTTTTATAAAGCATAATACATATGAAAAATAACCAAAATGAGTGTTTCAACTTTCTCTCCTGTGATAAAGAGTTTTTCAAGCTGTGTGGTAGAACAATTGGGTGAACTCAATTAGTCTTAATTTTTCTTAATTTTTTCCTTTCTTTTTTCCAATCATATTTGAGTATTTTCTTCCTCTTACCTTCCATTATTTTACTTTGGGAAACTTCCACTTTTCCTTCCTTGTCTGAACAACCTGCATGCAAACAAAGGAGACATCAGGAGAAGCTCATCAATAATAACAATTTTTTTAAGTTAATAATAACCATCACAATCAGAACTGTAACAAATCTTGAACTTGATTGGTTATCACAAGCCCAATTTGAGTACTTATGGGACAGTGAATGTGTCATGTAATTGGACATTGTAGTAATTAGGCAGTATTACATTATCCCAAGCCTTGAGTAATTGGACAGTACACATCATGTGCAAAGATCATGCACATTTCACAGAGTTAAATGTTGTCTTTTTTCCTATGAAAACATTTTACTGATGGCTCGTTTATTTCTCAGATGTTGTCATAGTTAAGATTAATTGGCAACTGGACTTCAACACTTCCAGATACCAATTTCTAAATTAACTGATTAATTAATTCAATGCTTCCAATTCTGTCAATAATCATACCCATAAATAACAAATTACTCTCATGATTTACCTCTTTCACACCCAGGAGTGACCAACAAGGACAGTTTCTCCTTACAATATCCATACACACACAAGAAAATATCAGCAATTGAAGGAGAAATTGCCTGATTTAACATCAAATTCTCAGAATTAGAATCATAAGCAGCATGGGGGGACAGGAACAGAGAATTAATATTTAGATTGTGGGAGTGAAAGGGTTAAGACCAAATTGGACTTCACTGAATCCTATTACCGTTACTTATATCATTGTAAAAAATGATTTGTGCTTTGTAAATTTAGACATTTGTTTGCAGTTATAATCTGTGTTTCAGGCACTTTGGTACCTGAATCATGTGAATGGTTATGTCCACCATTCATGTGGGAGTGTCCATGTGAATGACCATGAGAGTGTCCATGGCCATGACTGTGTCCATGTTCATGGCCACCGCCATGTGAATGTCCGTGCCCTCCACCATGTGAATGTCCATGCCCTCCGCCATGTGAATGTCCATGCCCTGTGAAGGGGAACAAATGTATATATCACATTTAATCCTTTGATCCCTAAGAGTGACCAGCATCTAATTTCTCCTTATAACATCACCCCTACATCACTCATAAGGTCGCAAGAATAAAGGAAATAGTCATCAACTAAAGAGGCTCTTGACTGTTAAACAAATTCTCACTGTCATGATGTACCTTTGAAATGAATGGAGAATACAGATACTGATGTTTAGACATAAAGGGTTAACTCTTTAATCCCTAAGAGTGACAAGGATCTAATTTCTCCTTACAATATCATCTCTGAATAAAAGGTTTAAGTCATGAGAATAAAGGAAATGATCAGCCAAAAGCTTTTGATGGTTTTACAAATTCTTCCTGTTAGAACCTAGGAAATGTATAGAGAATAGTATGGAGAATATGCATAATGATCTTAGGTTGTAAGGGGTTAACCCATAGGAGTGATGAAAATATGGGTTTTGAAGAGATGACAGCCTTTTTGCTGGAGGTGTTTGCTTTAAGATTGTATGCCAACAACAACCCACCCTATCCTCACAAAAATTGTCTGTTGACTGCATCATCTTTTCCCTTCAAAATGAAGTTCAAACAAACCCTACAGTCACAATTAAATTCCCAATAACAACACCATCCTTGAACAAAAACCCAAAACCTTAAAATGAAAGTATATCCATAAGTTACTTTATTTCTCTCCCAGTTTTGTGTCTTCAAAAACAATTTGAAGATGCTCAGGAAACCAAGCGATTAGTTCTGAGCCCAGGAAACTTCTGGATAATCTGAGAGAGTTTACATACATTGTAAAGATTACTGTAAAATAGTTCCAATTCATGAGTGACTGAATCATGACAACATAATTTTTTGATCGCCATAGTGTCATATTTATAGGTCAAGAGGTCTACAATTGGGACAATAATTTTAATAAACCATTATCATTAAGAACATTCTTACCTGCTGCACCTCCATGATGAAAGACAAAAATACCAACAAGATTAACAAAAAATCCTAGAACTGAAACAACAAACAGCCTCTCATGTTTAACCTCTGGAGGGTGAAGAGCTCTCTAGAAGTAAAAAAAAAATATGTTTAATGTTAAAAATTAACAAACCAATGCAATGTTACAGGTGTTTTATCATTTAAGATTGGATGTACCTTATCCTTTTCATATAGCAAAGTCCTATTATATTTAATTTACTATCAAGTAAAACTTTTCACCCCTAGAGTGAATATCATCTAATTTGTCCTTATAATATTGCAACTGAATCAAATATTACATTCAGAAGAATAGAGGTAAGGGTCATCAACAAAAGAAGTTCTTAAATTATTGAACAAATTCTCCTCATCACCACCTTTGAAAATGTATAGAGAACAGTATAGAGAATATACATGTTGATGGGAAGGTGTAAAGGGTTAGAAATATTTACCTCTACAGCTTCAGATAAAATAAAGAATGCAATAAACACCAAAAATAATCCATTCACAAAACCAGCCAGCACTTCAGCTCGTCCATACCTGGATTGTGCAGGAATCAAAACAACATTTATCAATTTTAGAAAGAGAAAAGTAAAAGGTGCACTGACTATGGTTAGCTTCAAAAGGTACTAACTCCTTACTGCTCACCCTGTCCTACCTTACACCTCCCCCTTCCCCCTTGCCCCTGACCCTTACCTCATGCCCCTTACTCTCTATACTGGCTGTCAATCAAATACTTCTCTTATATGCTGAATAATACCAAGACTACACATGTTCAGCTTCATGATGTGATAAAGGATACTCTGGCAGGAACACCATTGACAAAATGACACTGAATCAAAGAACTTATTTATACAGCAAGCACTGGTTTCCCTCAAGGGCAACTCAGAGGGCTCACAATACAGTAACATAAGTAAGAGAGAGAGAGAGAGAGAGAGAGAGGCTGTTTTAAATGCAATTTCTGTTCCTCTAAACTGCTTCACCAGTTCTATTACAAACCTTACTTATAAAAAAAAATCATCAATCTTACTGTAGGATGAAGGTAATAATTTTAAACTAATAAAATTGCATAAATCAGAGCTTGAATGAAACCAAACAAAGACAACAAAGGCTTTATATTGAAGATGGAATTTACTGCTTTTTTCAGGTAATTCATTTAGTCAGTGACCCTTGTAACAGCAAATGTATTGTATGTTTTACAAAAAACTCTGTGCTGCTAGGCAACCCCTCTGGTTTCCAGATGTATGTCACAAGTACTGTGCAATGTAAGATTGCCCTCCCTACATGGTCCATAATTTATTATACCCTGTGAGTGCTTAAGGTTGATTTCCACTGAGTAAACCATAATTGAATATAAACCCCAACCCTCCCCCTCCTCTTCCCTCCTCATGCTTTTTAATCTTTGTTGTCCTTTTGTTCCATTTTCTATTTTCAATGTCGTGTGTTTCTGGCCCAATCATAAATAAATTATCACACTGTACTTTTTGCCTCACCATTAATTACAATAAAAAATAGTCACACACAAGACAACTGCTTCTGTATAAAAATGTGGAAAAAAATTAAACAACACAAAACTGGAAAATTATATTGTTGCACCATTAGTAACAGTAAGATTTGAATTAAAAGTACATTAACAGAGCTAATTACCCATAGGAAAATCTTTCATTTTTTCCCCATTTTGCGATCACTGATGCTATGAGCCCCGCCAAGAGTGCAGTACAATCGAAGAACATATGAAATGAATCTGAGATCAGACCAAGACTGAAAGAAAGATAAACATTCATCGTAAACTTCAATGGATAATAATAATAAAAATAATAATAAAATTCGAATCCATAACAGAAGGATACTTGAGAAATCGCTCACCTATTCGTCCATATCCCGTAGGTCAATTCCACAAACGCAAACGATAGGTTAAGAAGAAGGAAGAAGAACAGATTTCTCGAGCCCTCGCTTGAGAGTATGGCCCTAAATAGATATATTACGCGAAAAAGTTAACATGGATGAACACATGGTTATCGATTTCAGTGCAATCGACGACAACAAAAGCGCTTTCAGATCATCGTACTTTATCCATTCAAACAAACGCGATTTAAGCTTCACTCCCGGTTTGAAATCGTCACTTTTAAAACCGTCTTTGCTGGTTAATGGAAGCATGCCGATATTAAAATTCGTACTGAGGATTGCATCTGATCACAACACTGCCGGCTTCAAAGATACGTGGCATTCGCTCACTTCCTGTCATTTCCCATTGGCTGATGGGATATATGTTTGACTTCTAATGCGTTTCCAGCTTGCGTTACCACAGGTATCCCAAGATCACGTCCTGAGAGAAAGGTACATTGGCCTGTAAGAACAGAACAGAGTTACAAAACCTTAAACACAAACGCAAACTTAAAACAGAATCACAAAGTCCGCAACACTAACACAAAACTCTACAACACAAATACATACTTAGAACAGAATCACAAAATCCGCAACACTAACACAAAACTCTACAAAACTTAAGTTTGTGTTTGTGTTGTAGAGTTTTGTGTTAGTGTTCCGGATATTGTATTTCTGTTTTAAGTTTGTGTTTGTGTTGTAGAGTTTTGTGTTAGTGTTGCGGATTTTGTGATTCTGTTTTAAGTTTGTGTCTACGTTGTAGAGTTTTGTATTAATGTTGCGGATTTTTTTTATTCTGTTTTAAGTTTGTGTTTGTGTTGTAGAGTTTTGTATTAATGTTGCGGAATTAAAATTCGTGAAAGCGTCACGCGTTGTGTGACTTTCACGAATTAATGTTTGCTTTTTTTTTGAGACGTGAGCTTGGTAACCTGTGAACTCACAACTGTAGTTTCAACCAGACAGATTAGTCAAGCTTTGACTCTTTGTTCAGGTAAGTGTCAGGCCTATTTTCATCGCAGGTTTTGACTTTTTTTTGTTTTTTTTTGTTAACTCCTTTTCATAAGCACCTTCAGTTTTCCATGACATTAATGATCATCAAAGTTTTCATTCAAGTACGTCCGCGTGCGTCAATGAAGAGAAAAATATAACTTGAATTCTTAGCCAAAATGGAACGTAATTATGTATTTTACGTTTCCGATTATTTGATGCGCCCCTTTTTGGAAGGTTCAACCGTTTTCATTTTATTTTGGAACGAAGGATAAGAATATCGATGCAATTCATGCCACGTGACTCGACGTCTGACGGTTGAAAATGACTCGATCGTAAATTTTGTCTCTTTACGTTGTTCTAATTGAAGTCTATGTACTTCAAACAAAGCTTTTAGGGTGTGTGTTGTTTAGTTTGTTGACTATTTATTGCGGTTGGGGAGTATTTATTAAATGAATGGCACTTGCCATTGCATAATTTTAATCAGGAGTCAAACAACGTACCAAGTGAAGCATTGTGGGTAGTTTGGAAACAGAGGAAGTTGTACTTTACGAAGTGAAAGTCGATAAGGAACTAGAAGCTTGTAGTAATTTTTTTTTCTTTACCGACTATCTTCTTTGTTCGGCCAAAACACACATATAGCCCAAGTTTGGTTGACTCACTGTGTAACCACACGTTAATAGCTGCCCAAATTGCTCATCTTAGGTATGAAAAACTAAAGAGGGACAGAAACCAACCAAATATATGTTGAAATCGATTAAAAAAAAACAAAAGAAAAGGGAAATGAGCACCCATTAAAAAAGAGCTCTTGATTGTTAAACAAATTTTCCTTGTCAGTACATAACAAAGTGTACAGAGAACAGTATAGAGAATATTCACACTGATGATGGAGTGTAAAGGGTTAAGTGAATTATCTTCTTCTGTCACCAGTCAGGACCTCAGTTACCATGTCACTTTTCCGACAAAGATCAACATCATGTAGCCGTTTGAAGGAGATATTTCTATGTCCTAGAAGTTCCAGGTAAATTCCCTAACCCTAAGCAATTTTTTTTCAAATCAAATTATCAAAACTTTGTTGCTCACCTCTGTGATAACTACCCTGTGTTCTAATGCAGGATATTTTACTTTTACTGTGCCCCTTTACACCAATGATTATGAAAATTAAATGGTTGTTGGCAAAGTGTTGGGAAAATGATTTTCCCAACACTTTGTGAATAAATATCTATTCACTTTGTGAATAAATATCTGGCTGAATCATTGTGTTGTGAGTTTTTGGGCAAGATACACTTTTTCACTTTGGCTCTTTTCACCCAGGAGTTAACCCTGTAACTCCCCAGATCTGATTGTTAATTCTCCCTGTAGCTGCTACACATTTCCTTGTAAATAAGTTATGAGAACTTGGTGCTAGATCGAGATAGCAGCTTCTACCTGATAAGTTTGAATATTCTCATTACCTGTTTGCTGAAGAATGTATGGATATTGAAGGGAGAAGTTTTATGTTAATCACCTCTGGGAGTTAAAGGGTTAAACTGGGTACTGGCGATATTTGAGGGGCAGAAGGGGAAGAAGTAATATTCCTTGTCACTTTAAATAATGGAAACCAAGTTAAGCTTTGGCTGGAGAAGCTGCTTGGCCCAAGTTCATACTTGCACTTCTGTACTCTTTCCTGATTTTTTCTTAACAGCTGGACATACTCTGATTCATATTATTTTTATCTCTTATTGTCAGTGGTTGGTTGAGAACAAATGTAACACAACCTAAGAGAAAGATAAGTTCTAATGCAGTATACTTGACAAGATCTCGATACTATTCAGCCATTGGTACCTTGGTAGGGACTCTGACTGGAGTTGGACTCATCCTCAATAAACAAAAGGTGGATAGACTATGATTATTGGCTTAATAAAAATCAATAACATAATCATTATTATAAAAATTGTTATACTGGTAATGGTTAATCATTACCAGTACAACAATAATTTTTATGATAATAAAATTAGGGAGCTGCAGTGTAGTGTTGTCATAAGAAGCTAGTAATGGAAACCTGCTGGCTGTTGGACCATTTTGCTCTGGCTACTTTGTCAATTGTGATTGAAGACACAAACCTAGTATTTTTAACTGGTTCTATCATGATATCTGGCTAAAAAAAATTACATATTAATATATCCCAGAATGCTTGAAATAACATCTCGGAGAGTTTCAAATTTCATATTTTCCAGGGTGAGATTCTCCCCAGACCATCCAGAAAAGACCTGTTGCTTTGCAACAAGCTATGCTTGCTACACAAGCATAATTCAACTCATTCACTCTGATGAAGGGCTAATGGACTACTCCTTACAAGATCAATACAATATCAACCAGATAAGTGATGAGAATAAAGAAAAATATCAATTTGGGAATACTTAGTTGATCTAATACTGAATTCTCCAAACTAACATTGTAAGAATTGTATGGTGGCCAATTCAGGTTGTCAGCTCAATTAATAATACCAAATCACCTTGTTGTACTCTCCTACCAATGCAGCACCACAGTTTCTTGTATTGGGAACTTGCCCTCTTTATAATCAACTCAGCCAAGTACTCAGTTCAAATCATAAATTTCTTACATTTTCTGATGACAACTCTGCAGTGGCGTAGAAGTTAGCACTGGATATGCTTTGAAGAGATGGAGTTGTGAGACTTAGCAGGGTCATTTTATTTTGTGACATGGGCATTCTGACATAAATCTTTACATATTTTTTCCACAGATTTCTCAAGCTAAAGAAGCAGCAAAGTCCCTTGGTCAACCATCACAGGACAAAGATCCTGTTTATTCTACAGAAGAGGTTTCTCAACACAACAGCCATGAAAAAGGAATCTGGGTGACCTACAAAGGAAATGTGTATGATATTACAGACTTTGTTGCTAACCATCCTGGAGGGTCAGAAAAGATAATCTTAGCTGCTGGCGGAGCTCTGGAACCATTCTGGGCTCTTTATGCCGTGCACAATAATGAACATGTGTTGGAACTTTTGGCAGAATATCGCATTGGTTCTTTGTCCAAAGATGAAAGCTCTATTGAAGCTGTAGATATCAAAGTACGTAGAAAATATGTGGAAGGATATATGAACTTGAATTTAACACAGCCCATGTCAAAGAAGCTTCATACTTTTTTCCCAGTTGTTAAGTAATATAATATTGTATGTATTAAGCCATCTTCACTCCTGCTGGTGAGCATAGGGGATTGACCATGAATCTCTACCAGACCCTGTTTTTGGCTGAATATTGTATAAACAATCCAAAATTCAGAGTTTAAGGGATCACTTCACCAAATGAGTGAAAAGTAGATTTTGTAGTGTTTTTCATTTTCCAACTTCCTGAAATACATCAGTCTGGACAGTGGTTAATATGAAAAGTGAAAAACCTAGAATTTCCCCACATGGAAAAAAACAGGAAAACCCTATAGCATATTATCCAGACACTTGTGCTTAATTCTGTGGTTCTATGGTGAATTTTTAATTGCTGCAGTTGGCCTATTTATGTGTGCATGCAGATAACTGATAATTACATCACTGTGTATTTTTAGGATCCTTACATAACTGATCCACCTCGTCATCCTGCCTTGAAGGTCAACACTAAGAAACCTTTCAATGCTGAGCCACCTTTGCAGCTCCTGTCAGACAATCTCATTACCCCTAATGAGATCTTTTTCATTCGCAATCATCTTCCAGTTCCAGACATTGATGAAACCAAGTATGAGTTAGAGATTACTGGTGAAGGAATTAAACCTGTGATGCTCTCTCTTGAGGTAATTTGCAAATTAATTCAGCGATCAGTTTCCACAATGTGACTTAAAACAGTAACCCAACAAGAAAATGAAGGGGTGCCTTGAATAAGTTTTGATGCAGTGTCACCTTCTCCCTCTGTTTGACATTGGAAAACAGGAAAATTTGTTAAGGGAATCCAGTACTCTGTAGAAAGTCACCAAGAGTGCTTTTCCATGTGTGTCCACTTGACTTTAGTGACCTTTGCAGCCTTTCTTTGGGATGACACACAGCACTCACCCCACCTGAGAGTATTGCATCTTCCTTTAGCTCACTGATAGCAGCTCTTTCCATGCCGTACAATCAACTGCCTTCAGTGGAGGATATAGAGATCTGACCCTTCCCTGTTATTATCAACATAGCAAGCCCTTAAATACAGAGAAGATGCTGTTGTGGGACTTCTCTCCACCTTATCTGAAACCTTCCCCCACCACCCCTCCTCTCTTTACTGGGATATCCTATGTATACCCCATGTTACAATTTTTTTTTACCCTGGAGTGGAAAAAATTGTCTTAGCTCTTTACACCCTAACATCAGTATCCACATT